GGCTCGAGGAACGTCGAGGGTGACGTCACGGTCTCCTCTTCCGTCACTAAGAGATACGGACCGTGACCGTCGATGGTCGCAACCGCGATGGGCGCTTCCTGCCGCGGATTCATGGTCGTCGAGTCCAGTGCGAATGGCGTGGATGGCTCGGTGGTCGACGGACCTTGCTGCGCCTTGAAGTAATCCCAGAAGAGCTGGCTGTAACTAATCGTCGTGGGCTCGTCGACCTGTCGGAACGAGGCGACCGGATCGACGTAGCGCAAGGTCGTCTGATCGACGGAATATGTCTGCGAGTTCGCAGGATTTTTCACAAAACCGTGGGGAATTGCCGGTCTCTCGACATCAGTTAAACTTGCTAATGAAAACACGGTTGTCTCGTTATTCTCAGGATGGAGCTCCTTCTTTCGTTCCAATTTGCGCGACTGCTTCGTCTTTTTATTTACATTATCGGATTTTCCATTTTGCAATTTGGACTTTTTCTTTTTCGTCTTCTTAACAGACTTATTTTCGCGTTTTGAATTATCTTCAACTTGATGATCCTCGTCCTCCGATTCCGAGCTATCATCCTTGATGTCATTGCGAAGTTTCGATTCTTGTGCATTTTGATACGTCTTCGAACTCCTCTCGGCCTCTTCAGCATCCGTCTCCACGTCCTCTTCCAGTTTCTGAATATTGCTCTCAGCGACGAATTTGGGATCTATCTCAGATCCCTTCCAGCTGTCCCTGCCGTGTCCTATCAGATTATCTTCATCATCCGCCTCCTCAAACTTTCTACTTTCTTGCACATGATCTTGATAATCATCCTCATATTCCTGGAATTCATCGGGCACCAAGTTCTCGTTTTTCCCCGTTTTTTTCTTATCGCTTGGGTTTTTTCCGCTTTTCTTATGATCGTGAAGCTTGCGCGCGAATCCCTCGTGAAAATCGGCATCCCTGACGTGCCCCGCGTGGTCGTAAGCCGAATCCTCGTACCCCTCCTCGGTGTAGACCGTGTTGACCTTCGAATTGGTGACAACCGCCCTCAATCTAGACGCGTCACGCCTCTCCTCGTCGGTCTCCGCGCTTTCGATCGCCTGTTGCTGCGGCAGTCTCTTCACGGTGTGGCTCCCACGAACCTGAGCGTGCAGCTTCGTTGGCACGAAGTCCAGAGGGATGTTTCTGTCGGGTGGCGGCTTCGCCCAGACTCCAGGTGCCACGTATTTCGGTCGAGTGGGCACGTCTCTGGTCTCTTCGTGCTCCGAGTACGGTATCGCGTGATCTGGAGGCTCTTCTGGATCATCGTCCTCCTTAGAGTGTTGCTCGCTGTGCTGATAAGATGGCCGCGCATATCGATTTCGGATATTCGTTTCCGAAGAGTCGAGAAGTTCCTCTTCCGCTTGTACACTCGTTGAAGTTGGCAAATCGGTCGTGGAATCTTGAGAGGTCGATGTCGTAATGTTCGAGGGCTGCAACCAGGCGCGATCGGTGACTTTATCACTCTCGGTGGTAGAGCCAATATCGATCGTGGTGGTGTAGAGAGTTTGATTCGATGATGACACATCGTGAATGCTGGCGATCGTCAGAACAAAAATAATAATTAGACTGTAGGCTTGTCGTTGTTGCTCCATTTCTTCGGATTGTTCTTCGCCTCATAGCATCATTAAAATGAGAAAATATTGTTCGATATACAACTAACAATGACCATTAGAGTGTCAAAGTATACTTTTTAATACGCACATTTCATCACAATTATTATATTAAATATTAATTAAAACATTTAACATTAATGTCTCTAAATATCAGAAATACATGTTACAAATTTATTGCAAAACTTGAGAGAGGAGGTACATATTATATATAAATCACGAACTGTATTAGTTTAAAATTTAATAGAACGGCACTGAATATATCGAATTCGGTTTTCGCGACAACAAGTTGCGGTTCAAACTCCTCGTATCGGTGGAAGACACTGTTACGTTACTCGGCTTTCAAAGAACGCAGATTCTACTGGCGATCCTATAAGTGACGTTTATCGATTTGCGAGTCGTTGCGACGAAGGAGAGAAAATCGCGATTTACATGAGAGCCGCCGAAGAAGTGATTTCTAATCATCCTCGATCGAGGTCTTTCGTCAAACTGGCCAGCGGTACGGGCCGCATGGCCTAATTTATATTTTCCAGCCATCGGAAAGGCGAGGTAGGGTGAAAAACATCGTGGAACGACGGTAGATACCCTGCTCCGCGAAGCGTTGCAGATCCGATCGCTCAACGATTCTGTCACTCTCGATTGGATTCGTTCGCGCAGGCCGTTTCACCCAGACGCCTCTCTTCTCCGCGTTCGCGTATTAGAAACTCCGACGTGTAGCTGACCGTTGGGTATCCCAATTACGTTGCGCTCGTACCCTTAATTTTACAGCGCGATCACGAGTGCCTCGTAAAAGAGACGCGCGAGAGCCGAGAGCAGGAGGAGCGCGTCGTTAATCGGCGCAGAAGTGCGCGTCGCGTATATTGACACGAGGTGGAGGAACGCAAGGTGGAGGCGCGCGAGAACACGAGGATGCACCATGGGAATAGCGTCCAGCGAGACGAACGTAGAGCATGTAGCGCGATTTACTTCGCTCAGTCAGCTGTGAACGGTTCGTTTCGCCGGGCTGCGCTCCGCTTCGTCTCGGCACAGCGATTGTCTCCCGGCGTCTTTCCGCGTTGGGCCGCGAAGCGTGTCGCTCGGGCTACGGGACTTTCTTCGCTTCGACGAGCCCGCGAGAGAATTATCATAGAATGTAATTTCCATTTTCTCGGAGCAGCTCCACGAGCGCGCTCAGATAGCTAAGTGAATTTTTTTATGCAAAGTGCTTGTAACTCCGATGCATAACTACGATCTTTACCAGTACGAAAATACTATAATAGATATAAATAAAGTGCTTAATAAAGACGAATCGAATTATCAGATCGAGCTGCGTTTAGCATTAAAGTATGAATCCTTTCTTATAACTTTCGACAATTTATTTAATCTGTAATTATTTTATATTCTAAATCTAGCGATAATATTAACAAAGCACCTCGTTTTCTTTAATAATATAACATTGAATACATAATTAAATTAAATTAGAATAAGGGGAATATTAAGGTGCAGCTATTATTGTGATATTATGATATTATAGCGGATAAAGTTTTCCTTAAATCGTACGTTAAAATGTGCCTTAGTGTTAAAAGCCGATCTTTAGATTTACAACTATGAGCATCGGTTCGAATGATTTTATTGCGCAAACCGAGCCGACTGTAGCAAACGATACTATTTCATCATCAATCTTTAGTCCCGACGGCGTAATGTGTAATGCTTTTTACGAAGACGAGAATGTGAATTTTACGCACGTTGCCATATCACAAGAACAAGACGTACGTAACAAGTGTGTATACATTTATCTATCTTAGTAAGACCGTTTTTAGTATTCCTAAAATACTTTCCCGACATTTACGGTATAATATACGTTCTATGGTGTGCCATATATCATCCCTTTTTTTATGAAGATTTTTTGAATAGAAAGCGCATTTTATTTTCATTCTTAATCTCCGAGTAATAAACCTAAGCGGCTTCAATTTCAGACAAACGATTTGAATAAAAAAATAAAAAATAAATATTAGTTTTTAATTCTTACAGTGTAAAACTTCATTAATAAATCTCAATGTTATGCTTATAAAATTGATGTTTAGTCGCTTGCTAATGAATTCTTTTCTCAATTGCAATTAAAAAAATAATTACTATTCTAAGATTGTTATTAAAAATGCAATTTAAATATTTAAGATTAAAAAATATTACAAAATTACATAAAAGACTTAATATGATCTTGGACAAGCAAGCTTCTTTGAATTTAGAACGGATTAATAGAAATCAAGTCACGAGAACAATAAAACGGACTTGGATTTTTTCCTGTTTCTACCTTGCGTATCTTGTAGAGAAGCCTTTACAAAACACACAGCTGCGAGAAATTTAGCTTTCTCCATTTACACGAAGATGCGGTTGGGTTACATTAGAATCTCCTTCAGATTTTGCATAAAATATAAATTAAAAAAATAAATCCGATAATCTGCGATTTATGACTGCGAAAAATCAAGTCACGATATAACATGCTGTACAGGAAGTAGGAAAAAGTTTCGGACTTCCAATACGTGAAATGTGAAATTGCATTTACAGATCACTGATCGACGTTACGGCAAGTAAAACTGCGATCGTGTACATTTCATGCTAATAGCGATTGGCATTGCTTGTATCACTGAATAAAATTTCAAACACTTTCACTCGCTGGGACTGCGAAGCACATTACAATTGAATCGAGCCTACATCAAACAATTGTAAATAGGTGTTACGATTAAAAAAGAAAAATCTAAGAATACTTTATTGGTGATACAAAACATAATTATATATAAAATCCTTAAGTATAATTTATAAATAATTCATAGAGACAGGTAACGATTAATAAATATCAAATGAACGTGTCCGAAGGTCCAAAAAATAAAACGATCATTGCATCTGCCCATTTTGGCCATATTACTCTACAACATCTATTCCGATGTCTTTCCGCTTTATTACACAAAGGATTCGTCAAGTAATATTCGAATAAAAATTTATCGTCACCTACTAATACATATTCGCGTGACCTAATTAAGTAATAAAGAGATACTAATTATATAAGGTACCTATTTAAGTTTTTATGACAATACAAAGTGCCCTACATAACGTTTAAATGTTAAATTAAATGTAGGCGAAGCTCCGCTCATAATGTTAATTAAATTTCGAATCCTTCTTTCTTTTATTCTTTTGTTTGAACTCGACTCAAAAGAAGTCTTGGAGGCACGTAAACAATGAACATGTTACCGCACGGGACCACCGTGTACTCCTCTATAAGGAAATAATACTCTCTCACGATCGTAGATATCAATGTAAGAAACGCGAATACGTGATTTGGAATCTTCATTAAAGTAAGATGTCAGGTACTCCAAACTCCAAAGGAAGAAACATTACGATCTAAGATATCATCGGCTTCCACGCGTTATTGTCGCTTTGGACCGGTGCTGGCTGGGTGGCGAGTTGCGGTTCCGCGGATTGCAACATGGAAGCTTCCGGCTTGAAAAAGTCTATGATTGGGTGATAATTGTAATTGATTCTCCTCTGCGGCTCCTGGTACTCGTCGTCGAAGCCCCCGTTCTGCAGCCTCGACGTGGCATCCACGTCCTGATCGTACGGCTGACTGTATCTGAAAAATGATTTCTCTCTAATAGCTTCAGACATTCTAATTTCTAATAAATTTCAATCATAATATTAATTAATGAACTTCTAAAATTTATCAAAAATAAAGATTGATTTTTCTTATTAAATCTAGATATCATAATCTGGCACAGATTATTTCCTTATAGAAATAAATTTTATAAAGAGGCATATTATCAAATTTATATTAATTTCTGTTATTTTGATTTTATTAATTTATAATAATTTTATATTTGATTTATTAATTTGATTTTATTAATTTTATATTAATAAATTTCACTGTAAATAAATAAGTTTCAAAATTTAAAATTAATTTAAGCTAAAATTCTAAAATTAGTTCTAAGTCCTAAACAGGAATTTCCATCAAATCTAAATAATAATTTGACAGCGATTATTTTTTTACAAAAATATTTTACGAAAAAATATATTAAAAAATGTTAAATTTATGATGAAGTAAAAGCGTTGCATGCTACTCACCGGTTGACCGTGCTGTTACGGGAATTCTCCGTGTAGTCCTCGTGGACGGTGGACTCCCGTCTGAAAGGCGGCCTGGTGAGTCGGTTGGGCCTGCTGCTCTTGGTCAATGGACCTTTGTAGCCCGGTGCTCGCGTGTTGGGCGCGTGCTGTTGCGGCAATTTGTCGTACGGCCGCGGGATCGGCGCGGGCTTCTTCGGTCTAGGTCTAGACAGAGTAAAGCTGGGCCTGCTCGTCGGATTGATCTCCAGCACCGGCTTCTTGTTGCTGGACACTGAAGGAAACGAGACGAGTTCGCTGAGGTAGTTCAACGTGGACGACGGCGAGTAATTCTGAAGTAAAGTACCGTGGCTGGAGTCGAAGCTCAAGGTGGGTGAGTACTTGGTGACGTGATTGAGAAGATTGACAGGCTTGTTGAGATCCTGGAAGTCGTCCTTTTGATCGTTGATGGTCGCGAAATCCGCGCCCGGGAACGATTCCTTGGGCTTCGTCGGGGGATCTTTCTGATGCGGCGGGAAGATCTCGGAGTAGCCGTGCACGTGGCAGCTGCAGCAGGTCGGCACTTTAAATATGTCCATGTGTAGTCCCAGTTTCTGATCCCAGGTCAGCAGTCTGTGGTAATTGTAGATTTGCACGCAGGAGGAACGGTAGTTTTCCGAGATAAACGAGCAACTTGACTGTGGATTGCTGTGGAAGAAACATTAAATTAATTTATTCAGCATTGTTAAAAAGTAGAACACATTAAAAAGTCAAATAATATATTATTACAATTTATGTATATGTATCATTGCCTTCAGTAATATATAGTTGCAAGAAAAAGAAATCATATATATTATACTTTAATTAACTTTAACTTTAATTAATGTTTTATAATTCTTACTGCAGGCTGCATTTTACAAAACAGTGACTTATAACAAGCAAATATTCTTGGAACTCTGATCAGATATCCTTTATTTAGCCGCTTCAAATGGAATGTTACGTAAATTGATAATTAACGTCCAAATAAATTACTCTTTCTCTCTCTCTTTATTCTTTGAATAAAATACATATTGGTTGCCATACTTACGAGCATTTCTCCAGTCGTATCGTCTGGGTGTGTTCACCTGTGTTTATTATGTACTTCCATACCCCGGAAGCGGCTCTCGCTAATTGCGGGCGAGCGTATTTGACAGTTGACGGACAAGTGAAACCCTCCTCCACGTTGTCGAAGGGATTGTCAGATCGTCTGAAAGTAAAAATATGCGATAAGTAATAAAAATTATTTTTGTTAAATTAAAAACTAATTTCTTAATTATTTAACTCTTTATCTTAATTCCTTCTTTTATTTATAATTTATCTTAATAAAATAAAATCTTAATTAAATTTGAAACAAGCAAAAAATAATTTTTAGATGCTTCTAATTATACAGACGTATTAATTGTTATTTATTTGAAGTCAATAAAAACTTAAAATTCAAATAATAGCCTACAAATATTTCATGTACCTTTTAATCTCGTTGCTCTCGTATCTGTTCTCCAACGGTAGGGCGCTTGGCAATTTTTCTTCCGCACTTCCGTCTTGCGCCTTGTAATCGGCCAACAATGCGGATACCATTTCCTTATTGGACCTTAAACTTCTTATTATCGCCTCACTAGAAAGTTAAGGCCGTTATTAATGCTTTTTCGCGAAAGTCAATAATAGCAACATTTTCTCCAATGCGGAAAATTTCTTTTACGCGCATCTCGTTGGACACTTATTCGAAAGACTAAGATGCGGACTCAAGTAATGAAAAATTTAGAGGAATTTAGGAAATTGCAATTGCTCAATGCGTAGTTCCGCAATAATCAGGTAGCGCAAATTATCTGTTTGCAAAAAGGTAGTTTAGCAAATTAAAAAAAAAAACAATTTTAAGAATTCAGTAACAATGCACCTTGCCTGAACTAATTGAGGCTCCGTCCGTCACACGGTCAATACCTTATTTATCTCTACACACGATTCGGTCGCCGTTATTTTAATACTTCCGCGAAGGGGAGACGCGGAAAGTGAAAACCGCGCGCCGGCCTGCCAATTAAGACGGGCCGGGGAGATTTTAATCTCGGCCCGTATATGCAAATCGGGCCGCGCGTAACAATGTCCGTCATTAAATTCAATGCCCGAAACGAAAGTTCAGGGCAGATGTACTCACTGCGGATAATCGTTGGCCTCGAGACACACCGTCTTCGTGAAGAAAGTGCATTCGCTCTCGGTGGGCCTCCTCTTCGGATCGCTCGGTTTCGGTTTAGACGGCCGCATCACGGACGGCCTCGATAAACCTGCGTACGGATCAGATCATCAGCCGATCTGCCTTGGCCCGTGCCACTTTTAGTCCGCCGGCGCGGATTCACGCGACTGTCGATTACCGCCGGCGCGGAAAAAACACTGACCTGTGTAAACGTTCCGCCTGTTCGGGAGAGACGGCCTCACGATGGTTCGCACTGGTTTAACGAATATTGGTCGCCGTCGATCCTGGGGCCTGACCAGCCGCAGCTCTTGAGCCTGCAAAATCGGAATACTCGTTTGTAAAAATTCGTACAAAATTAATATTATCTTTACATTATCACTTTGCTCTTGTATTATGGGAATTAGGAAATATTTTTAGTTAAATTCGCTTCTTTTTTTGTTGTTAATACGTAATAAACACTATCTAATTTGTGGCTTATTAATTATAAGGATGTACACACAGAAAACTTATGATCACACTTTGGCGTGTGCGAACATTAAATTTGCGGTATATTCCCTGTAATTATAAACGCCTACAAGTATTGTCCGTGTGCGCTGACCTTAATGATCGTTTACTTAAGTATACTTAAGAGAAACGTCATTTGCACCGAGTGCGCTCTATGTATCGTTCTAAAATCGCTACGGATTGAAAATGTATTAATTGTATTAATATATCTGTTGAATTAAATTTAAAATAGAATTCCATTCTGCTCAAGCAAATAAATACGTCGTCGAGATTGCCAGGGAAAAAAAATAATAACGACGTGGTTCCTTTTAAAATTGAATTTTTATCTTATTCCGATCAGTCTCTGTAGTCCTCAGAGAAGCTCGCTGTAATACCGCGCGTCGCCGCTTATCTATTCCCACGCAGAATAAATCAACATCCGCCTATATCCGTTCAAGTCGCTCGCTAATTAATGTCCGGAATGGAAAGTCGTTCTCTCGCGCGATATATCTGATTGGTGTATAGTAATCGCGACGCCACGCCGCTCACGGAGATTCAAGAGATGGTCCTTGCGACGGAGTCGTCGTCGCAATAAAATATGTCGAACACGTGAAAGTACTTGCATAAAAGGCGCTGCTTAACAGGCCGCCGTTACAAGTGAAAACGTATACGATGCGCCCGTTCTAAATCCGTGAATGTGCCGCAATCTAAGCCTACACTGAATGAAGATTCAGTGTAATTCTCGATAAATGTTATTCCTTTCAATATGCAGTGTGATATAATAAGATAAATTCAGAGATCAAAGTTTGAACCATCAAAGCTTGCGAGAAGAAAAACTTACAAGATAAAATTTCAATATATATGTTCATGCTGATTTTGTATAATAGGATTTTTTAAATATATGATATGATTTATACAAATGATCTATACAAATGATTTATATTAAAAATAATTAAAAAATAAATAAAGTAAAATAATATGTATAAAAATAAAAATAAAAGGCTAAGACAAGCCTTTTATTTTTATATTATTACTTTGCAAAAACGCAAGCCTTGAATTTACCTTCACTGTAAATAATTTAATTTTTGATATACTTAAAATACATCAAAATAATTAAATGATGATAACAGAAAAATTTTTAATTACGATTACATTTCGCAGTCGGAAGTAGAAATAATGCATCAATTTGGAATCTGCATAAAAGTAATCAAGGATCTACATATCGTATGTGGCAGATACTAATTTAGCCTATCAACGTGATAGTTTAGAAATCACCGAAAGCTCGAATTTATTAGTGGCTGTATGTATACGTAAACGTCGATATTTTTAAGCACCACGCACCGTGAGAAACTCGTCTGTCAGGGAAAATATACATATTTATTAACCGGTGGGATAAATCTCGTTGAAATTTACGGCGAAGTGGAGACGTCAAACTTCAACTTTCTACAATTCTCCGGATGGTGAGAAAAAGTCAACGCAGTAGATCATTCGTGCGCGATCACGCGCATCACATAAGGATGATATTATTTCTTTTTTCTGTATCTGTATGCGTTTTAACTTACTTCCGGTAACGCCTCGGGCACCTCGTCCTCGTCCGACTCCTCGCTCTCCTCGGAGTCGGAATCGTTGGATATAATTTTCGCTATGTCCATGCTGATCGGCAGCATTAGCTCCCTGCTCGCGTTCTCTCTGTTGCCGCCACCGAAAAGAGTCCGGACTTCCTCGAGCGGCGGTGAGGTCGTGTCGTTGTTGGATATCCTCGTGGAGATTAGAGTCGCCATTGCCAGCTTCTGCGGCGGCGACATGCTACGTATTATCGGTATTACCTCGCCAATTTGTTCCCGCTTCTCTGGCATCTTCATCGCCTAGAAAAACAAAAAAAAGGATTAGTTTTACCTGTGTAAAACAAATAACTATGTATAGGTATGTACATGCATTCGAATAATATCTTGTTTTATCGAATTATTTAATCTTATAGAAATTTAGATAAAATAATTTATATTATCGTATTTTACCGAACTATTTAACTTTACGAAATTTAGATAAAATAATTTATAATGTACCAGAGTATACATTATTGTACATTCGTTCAATCAAACGTCAATATAACGTCTATTTATAAATTAGCAATCTGTCAGGCTTTCTGTACTACGAGTTTTCTTCATATAGAGACTTCTACCTTATCTTTCATGCAATTCATATTTTATGAAAAGTAAAGAAGATGTTAGATGAATGTCATTCGAAAGTACTCCATGCAAACGTGCCCACTCACGGATGCCACTACTTCTCGTACTTTGCTCGTTCTGTTCTTGACGTCCTCATCGGTGAGCTTGAGAGACGCCGATATCTTCCCCTGAGCTTTCTCACCGTCGCCGGCATTATCGGCGTTCTTCTTCGCGGCATGGATCGGGGACAGTAGCACGACTGCCTAGAAAACAAAACAAAAAGTTGCACGCCGCGTTATTGCGATACGACACAATTTTATTTTTATAATCGCCGCGGATAATATTATTAGATAATTCCGTAATCACGTCTCGCGTAAAGCATTACATGCAGCGCATTAGTAAATCTGGGATTACATTATGCGTTATTACGTCGCTACCTGCCTAATTAATTTGCCAGAAGTGTTAAAAGGATGTTATCTATATCTTATTAATACGGTAAATTGTAATTAACAGTTAGCTAGGAAGTCGTCGCGGCTGATGCGAATCGAAAATATTAAATTTTCATAAAGCGAATTAAGCAGTATGTTAACTCGGCTTCTGGTATATCGCTAATTAGTTGAGCGTCGCGCGCGCGCGCGAGACGCCGTCGATTTAATTGAATCGCGCGAGTGAAAACGGCGAAGCGCGCGCGTGTTGGCACGGAGAGCCACGCGGGGGAGACAATAAAATGCAACTTCCGGAAAGAACAATCGTAACGAGCGTGCAAAAGCGCGCTATACATATAGCCGCGAGTGAATCGCAAGGAAGCGCAAATTACGTTACACGTATCTCTTGTTTGCCAAGAGCGTGGACCGATTATCGCGCAAGAGATCTTGCCTCCTCTTCTTCTTTCTTTTCTTTTTTTTTTTTTTTCACGAGAAGAAGGAAGCCCGTCCGGAGAAACGTCGGCTGTGCGCGCGCGCACGCGTTCGCGTTCGTTGCACCGGAAGCGCGGTGTGCACCGCAATGAGCTTTCGCAGGATGCAAGAGATCGCATTGCGATCTCCTCGACGCGCAATCGTCGCAAAGGAGAGCTCCGTAACGTACACCGTCGCGAAAGTGTTATGCAGATTTAATGGCACGGTGTAAACGGCGAGACACCTGACCTGGCGTATATGTGTGCGATAACGGCCAATATATAATTTATATGTAGGTATATATAATTTTTTTGCCGCAAGACTCGGATTCTCAGTGAAAGTAAATGACCGTAAGTTTCATTTAAGCTGACTCCTGGCAACCTGTAATTGGGCGGCTTGATGAATTCATTCTCCGATTTAATTATTTTCGTGATAACTAAACGAGTTAATTATTATGAATGAGAGATAATTACATTGAAAGCTAGTCATTAACCGTGAACGCTAGATTTATTACTCGGCGTATTATAATGAATGGGGGAGGAGGAGGAGGTGATGTTATATTTATTGATGCTTAAGTTTCATGAATGTAGATCGGATATTCTTGTAATTAATGCTTATTAATTTTCTATTGTACCCCGATAATTGAGGGAGCAAAACTGCTTCGCATATCTTCTCTCGAATATCTCTTCTCGATACTCTAATAAATGCAACTTAGTTTCGCTAAACTACGATCGAGCTCTCGGGTATAAACAAATGCAGGATGCAACTACGCACGCACGTGAGAATGCATTAACCACGCGATACACGCGATGCGGCATGTATATAGCTTCAGCCCTAAGAGAATTCCTATTTCTCAGCTTCAACATGACGAAGAATGCCTCGACTATTATTCAGAGTCATTAAAAATGTATTTCTTTTTAATTTGGTGAAATGTGCGTGAAACCGAACGGTGCTTGTAAGTAAATTTATAAAAGTTAGAAATTGCGCGGGAAAGAAAGAAAGCTGAATTAATAATTTATAATTTTGTCAAAGATCGAGCTTCCACTTATTATTAGAGAAGTTTGGATACATATAAAAATTAAATACGAGGGAAAATTATGTATGTTCAATTGATGTTCTTTTTTTTATTATATCTTCTTATTTTTTTTATTTGATAAATTTATTGTTTTATTATTTTTTGTTCCCACTTATTACTAGAGAAATTTGACTAGATATAAAAATAAAATATGAGGACAGTTTAATTGACGTTTTTTATTATAATATCTTCTTGTTGTTTATTCGATAAATTTACTGTTTTACTCGATTTAATCCTATTAGGATTAAAGACCTATCATGTCGGTCATTTTATAATCAACGTAACGACCCAATAATCGTCGAGCGAAGCAGGCGATTTCACTGGTATTCAATGAATTCTTCGGCAATGAAACAAAATCGCGTGACTGCGTTCGAGCATTTCGTGATCGGTGTGTTTCGAGTCAGTTTCCATATTTATCGCGTTGATGAGGAGCCTTTCGCGAATGCTCGCGCGAGAGCGAACTCGGTATAATTCCAGCGCATGTGCGAAGTATCCATCTATTACTTTTCCTCATTCCAGCGTGCGACTGGATCAAGGTCGCGACAAAGGTTGTTCCACTTTGGACCAGGTAAACTGATGCTGAGAGCATCACGCGGTCAAAGAACTGAAGGAACGAGAAGCTTTATTTATTTGACTTCAAAGAGTGCAAGTAAAACTTTCCTTGAATTCGAGAATTAACATCTGATGAAATTTATTATCTTTTAAGCAGTTATTGATAAGAAATAGTTATACTATAATGATCCCTAAAATCATTGATTTAAATATGCTAGTTTTAAAGAAGAAATAAAAAATTTAGATATTTTGTATATGAAAATATTATAGAGATTTCTCGTCCATTCATTTTGAATCATTATCGCGCGATTAGATGAGCATTAAAAATCTTAAAGCTAAAAACATTAAATAAATGAGCAATTAAATGATTAACAATTAAAGAATTAGAATGGCGACAAGAAATTCCACTATTCCCAATCAGTCGTAAAAATTAGAGCTACAGTCTTAGCCATAAATATAAAATGCCCTGAATTTATTGCATTTTTTGGAAGAGACGATAATAAAAGTCAAAGGTGGACTAACAAAATACCAAAATTGTTATAAACATAAATGTTATGTTTTAACAAAACTTTTTAAATTTACTTTTTGTTAGATATAAAACGTTTGGGTCAATTTGTGGGGATACTTTATACTTATGGCCAAGACTGTGTACCTATACGTCTAAAAGAAAAATAAATCTTACCAGCAGCACCCAGCTCGACTGTCCTATCCTCATCCTAACGAACCACTAAGACTCATCAACAGTTTCAGTATCAACCAATTTACTGCAGTTATCCCGGATTCCACTGCCACTATATTTATACCACTGCAACTGTTTATCAGTCTCTCAGCACTATCATGGAGCAATATCATTAAACACCCAACGAGAAATTTTCTTCACGAAACACCGTTCGCGCGTTCGCGTAGATTGCGCTCGCGGGGGGGAGTCTTCTCGAAAACTGACAAATCAAACCCAAATACGAAGAACCTCCGGTTCTGGAAAGGATACCTCTCGGTACCGATGTCCGTACGCTAAATCCACCTGCCGCCGATCTGCTCTTTGAACTGGCGCGAAACGTCAGCTCTCTCGCGGTGGTAGGAGAGACGCGAAGAGCCTCCCCGCGCGCGGTCCACGTGGGGATAATGTAGGAACACGGGATCTCCCCCTCGTGCAGCCGTGACCGAGAAAACCGGACGGTCGTCGGGTTGGTGGATAAGCGTGTCGTACCGGAGAGAAGGAAGAAGTCGGCCACAGCCGGAGCTCCTCCTCTCAGTCCGTGCGAGAGAAAGAGCGCGGCTTTACTCTCGGTCAATAGATTACACGCAGCATCGCGCACTTGTACTGCCGTTATACAAGGTGTTCCAGGTTCACCGATCTTCTAATTATTTTCTCATTAATTCAAGTGTCTTCCCTAAAAGACGTCGATGGCTTCTGTTTGGCCAACTTTTGAAGATTTCATGAATTGAACTTTATTTAACTGGAAACAAATTTTATTTTCCCTCGACACAATGGGTTCTTTTATTTAAATGTTATGTAAAGATATTTAAAGTTTTAAAAAAGATAATTTTTCTTAAAAAAATTTATTTTTTCAAATTGGTTAAAGAATTAAAAGAAGCGAGGAGAACGTAGGACACCGTGTAATTATTGCTGTACCCATCGGGATAACAGATGATCAACACGTTGTTCTTCCTGCGATTACTGTACCGGATCTCGTACTCTCGGTGTGACACTCTATTGTGCCGAGAAAGTTTTTCTTCGTGATCGATCATAGCGATCTTTTCGTCGCGTGCGTGAAGCAGGTGACTCTACAGATATCTACGCACAGAATGTCTTCGGTAACCTATATACTGATAGAAAGTCCGGATTTTTTCTCATTAATTTTGGGCGACCTTACCTTAATATATACAAATTGTAAAATTAAAACATTATATAATATATTTGCTAAATACTTGTTTAGTCAAGTAATCCTAGATATTCTGTTAAAGTGATAAAAATAAAAGACTTGAAATTATTCACTTGAAATTATTTTTAGAATTGTTAAAATGACGCTAGACGGAGAAAGACACAGGCACTTTTACTTATTACTCGGAGACTATTTGAATTGTCACGCATGATTCAACTCGTGGTCCAGCGCGCTTTCGAAAACCATGTTTTTATTATAATAAAATATCACGCATGGCCGGTTACTTAGGTACCCGTCTCATTTAGAAAATAGTATACCGTTCGAAAGAAATTAATCGGCGTAAGTACCATAATGAATTAAAGGATACCGTTATTTTCTCTATATAATTGCCGTCTTTTGATAGCGCGATTAACAGTATACGATTGTTTAGAGAAAGTTACCCAATTTCATGCTCGATATTTTCTATACGATTGGATATCGATCACGTGTTTTAATTGTTGCTTCACGTACACATCGCGATGACATCTAAAAATGATTTAAAAGAGAAAAAAAACTGCACTGACTTCACGGCTGACTTCGCGACGTCTTCTTTGCAGAATTAAATAAGTCGGCGATTAAGATTTATGTAAATTAAGAATTGTATAATATCGCGTTTACCACTAGAAGTACCATGCAATCGCAAACTTTCTCGCCTTACAGTCACACGAAATTGCTTGGAAAGCGCAACAAAGCACTGTAATATCAAGTGATCTATATAATACCTGTGAAAAGGTAAACGGCGAAAGTGTTATTTTACATACGCGGCAATATTTGCGTCCATTTCGACGCAGGACACATAAAAGCGTGATAACATCGCGTTAAGATAAGCTCGATTGTACAAGAGAACACTTTCTCGTATTAATTATGTTTTGCTTTCATTATAATTGTCATTAGCGTATTTTTTTTATATCTTCCATTTTCGTGAAATTTACATTTCGCTGATGTATTTTAATTAAAATTTAAATATGTTACATGCAAAATCTAATTAATATGTGTGTCATTTAAGATTTAAGAGTTATTTAAGTTCATTTACAAGTCGGGAGTCAATCAAGATTTATTTCTACTTCATAAATTTATTTTTTACCGCAAATTATTAACATTAATTTTATTAATATTAATTAGAAAATAAATTTTATGTAGTAATATTAATATTAATTAGAAGATAATTTTTATGTATTCTTTTAAATGGCTTTATAAATTAAATATATCACACATTAATGTGTTATCAGTCACAGAAAAATTGCATCCAAAAGAAAAATTTCCGGAAGTCGGATGACGTTTCTGTTTTCATTTGTGGTAAGAGCAATTTGCGGTAAGATAACGGTAACTGACGTACAACTTAAAATCGTTTACGTCAATGACTTTCTTCTTCGCGGAAACAACGCTGCGCCCGAAATCCCGCGAGACCGCAGCTTTATTCCCACTCGAAATTCCTTTTCCCCGTCGCGAGCTCCGTTTCTAATAACAGCTGCTTGACGATGACGGCGGTAGGGGTGAAAGCGGCGCGGGTTTTACGCTATGCTCAAATGGCATTTCAATGTACGATTGGCAGTACTTACTGTCTTCGGCTAGCGACGTGCTAACATTACCACGGCGATGGTATAACGATACGCAACCGGCGTCGCGTCGTTAGGAGGCGTTTTATCCGGTGCGCGCGTTAAATTGTTTCAGAGAAGCCGTGAATGAAGCGTGAATGCAACTAATTTCCCCGATATTAAGAATTACCAGCCTACTTTCGTGAGAGGATGAGCATTATGGAATGAAGGACATTCGTTCTGGGAAACGAGGCCTTTAAGAGTGTTTTATCACCAGCGCGACGTGTAGATTCGAGATCGTTACTATGCGTTTTAACAATCGAACTGTTACACTTTCACGGGGAAATTAAGTTAATCGGATGAAAATGTCATGATCTTGGAAAAAAAAGAAACACTTAAAGTTATATAGCTGATGATAAAATAAGAATATTTAAGACCTTACTAAAAACAATATTTGCAATATACATATAAAAAATGATAAAACATAAATATTAAAATAAAAAATTTCCGCATTGACATAACAATGCTACTTAAAATTAATTAAAAAGTTACAAATCGTCCTGACAATTAAACGACTTGCTGCAACAACGGGCTAATCCATACCGTAGCCGAATATGTGATATTGATTGAAATGTATATTTTTTTTTTTCACTTTAAAGTTCATTTTCTCCTTTGTTTTTACGAAATGTGAGTTAGCCCACTGTTGCAGCGAGCCCTTCAATTTATTTCGATGCCTTTGGCGGCTTCTCGCGTCACTTTATAAGGCACTTGACAGACAAGTGATCGATATACACGAGTTCGGCGCGAATCTTTTGCCGATCCGTAAATTGGCGTTACGTGACGGTGTTACCATCTAGGAATGAGCGGAATAAATGCTGTAAACCGTGAGAACCGTGATGTAAATTCGAATATTAAGGCGAGCGTGGGAAGAACCGACAATTGGACAGCGAAACGAAAATTTTTCTGTTTACAGAAATTGTCTATAGAATCGTGGTAAATATTTTTCATTTAGAAAAATATATTATAATCCTTAAAAAATTACGTATATTATCCTCAAGATGTAATCTCACACGCAAATATCTATGTTACATCTTAAAAATAATATCAGGAGACGCGGTAGCGTCTCCCGCCAAGTATATTTTTTCGCTACATTTTATATACGCCTCTCTCTCTTCTCGCAACGGGACATCGTTGAATTAGCAGGTATAAATGAGCCTCTCAGACAATTCTCGCGCGGCGCCGGTCCCATTCGGGAAACAGGTTTACTCTTATTTCTTAATCGTCGCTTTAAGAATTTCTGTCTGATCGTATCATTCCTCCCTTTCCGGATTCGCGTCCGAATCGCGGACAGGTGAAACGCCGCCGCGACCAGAAGAGCCGCAGGAAATGTGGGTCGCGTGTCTTACGAATCTCCACGTTCGCAAAATTGTGCTGATTAGAACGGAACGGATCCGAGATTTCCGACAATAATGCAGGCTACGTTCTGAAGATATGAGAGTTGTTCTGTAAAATATTACGCAATCGTTAGTGATAGAATAAAAGAAAGAAGACCTTTTGTATTTCTAAAATATCGCACAATTGAATTGTCTATTTCCTGAAGATATTTTATTTTATTACGCCTGCTTTTCAGCTTTTCTATGTGATTTCGGAACTTGAAGCAAAACATGTTTACATCTGTACGAGCTAAAGTGGGACAGCTGACTGAACGGCTCGTCTTCATAATCCAATCTTGTATTCCAGAAAGAGAGAGAGAGAGAGAGTACCCTGAATAACTAAATATTCTAACGATCTGTAGCGGGAAAATAAGGAAGTTGTGAATCAGCATGGCGATGCTATATATGGCTTTCTTTTAACGCTCGATTTCTAAAAGATTACGATGATATAGGCATTTTTGAGAAAAATAGCGATTAAAAAAAAGAAGGTAAGGTGAGATATTGGGTGGCGTTATGAATGAAAGTGGAACGCGGGTCGCGTCCGCGAGTCTTCTTCCTTTTGATAATCGCGCTTCGATTCTCAACTCCCACGGAATAGAAAGGAGCGCACGAGGGTTACGACTACCGAGGCTCTCGGAAGATTTTGCGGCGAAAGTCTTTCGTTGTAGATAGCCGGACGTTGACATTTTTGCCGCCGTCGCATACCGTATGCGTATACCGTAACCTCGATGAAATTGAGTGTGCCCCCCTGTGTGAAATGGTTTAGCATAATTAGAGATAAACGCGAAAGATCCGGGGATCAGGGATCTATTGAAAAATAGAGAAAGTTAGTCTAACCGCAGACAAGAAGAAATTTAAATTATAATATAATTTAAATTGTAAAATTTATAGCTAAAAAATAAAAAAAATTGATATTATAATTATTTACAGGAAAAAAAATAAAAAAGTAATAAAATATATCAAAGTGCTATCTAATTTAAATGAGTAGTTCGCACGTGTCTGCCTTTCAATAAACTTTCATTATAGAAAATTAATGCAGAAGTGTTTTTAATTTTTTTGTTGCAAGGTCATCGTTAAAAATACATAAAGAGAGTCCCATAACCATATATAATTGCAATTTACGGTTATATCGCTGTGTTTCCAGAAGATCGATCGCTTGGCACGTCGATCGACGTCGCGCGCGATGTATCTTCTAATTGAACTTTCGAAAGTATACTCTAAAAGCATGATTAGTTTCTCCATTTAAGAGACATCATCATCATTCAATGTATATGATTATAGAAATATATGATGTATCATCTTGGAAAGATGATCAGTGAGGTTCTCATTTTACTTCCTTGATACGCAAAAAAGGTGCAACATCACGTGTGTGACTGAAATCATTGACTCTCTCTCCCACTTTAATTCCATCACAATTATTATAATTCTCATTCCCTTGCTTTAAAAAAAAATACCAAGAAATATACGCAAGTTATGCTTTTAGATTGGCCTAATTTTTCTGGGCCTTTAAAACATTACCAACAAGCTTTTTGTTAGTAAAGTGGCAATCGTTTTCTCTTCTATCATACGTTTCAATTTTTTTTTTCAATCGTTCTTTTGAGGAAATATCGATTTAATTGATATCGGAGCTTACAGCGACGCGAGACAGTTGGATTCGTCGTGTTTCGTCATCGGACACGCGAGGAAATCCGTTGCCATAAAGAAGTCCGCGACACTTTATGGTTATTTCCCGAGATTTCAGGAATGCGATTCAATTTACGATAACGATCCACTGCGTCGGACGCACGTCGTACTCGTTCCGAGCTTCGAGGAGCGAAGACAACGGCATGGAGGCAATGGGATAGGTGCACTCGCCTCCGTGGACACCCTATCATGGATACTCTGATGAGAGTAAGCCGATACTTACGACTTCGTGACACGAATCCAAGAACCAAGGTCGCTATTGCACAAAACCTGATTATGGTCTGCAGTGATCGAATTAATATCTGAAATATGTTAATACATTTTAGAGACTGAAGGAATTATTACAATAATTAAGATTGATATTACTAACGTCTATATTTTATGTAAAAATTAATTTTTATAAAAATTAATTTTTACATAAAATAATTTAATTGTGTGGTTACTCGCATACAAATAAAAAATACTCCACGAAGTTTCGGTAACAGTAAATATCTTTTTACATAAAACACAAACATTAGTAACATCCATTTTATATAATTATTGCAATAATTCCATCAGTCTCTAAAATATATTAATAATATATTTTAGATAATATCTAAATTCTAAAATATATAAATTCATAATTAAATATCTAAAATATATTAATAATATATTTCATAGATTATAATAAATTAAAAAATTAATTTTACAATAGCATTTATCATTAAAAAAAAATGTAGAAGTATAAGATCCCAAAAGTTGTTTCTCTTAAAATGTTATTTACTTGTACAGTTCTAAGCCTGCAATTACGATAAGTTAAAGCCAACACACAGGAGCGTCTCAAATTCGCACGCTGAAATCGCCACGGCGATGGGGAGGTCTTAATTAATTTCATTAAGCCGTCTCCTTCGCACCTTCGCGTCTGGAAACGGCGATCGTCAGATCGATATCCCGGTCGAGGGAATCTGATTCCTTCGACCTTGCCGCCTTCTCCTTCTCTTCCTCCTGCCGAGTGCAGCAGCGGTGGCACCTGTAAATCTCCGTTGTCCACCTCCCTTTGGCCCGCGGACTTTGATAAAACGCGCCGGATTTGCATACCGCGCCTTTATCTCGTCCGGTGCGTATAAATCCATATTCCCGTTGCAGTAAATTCTACGGCGTCCGTCGCGCGGATGCGATTTCATAAATCACGAGGACCGAAGGCAAAACCTCGCCTCCTATTAATTGAAAGAGAAGGAAGCGTCTTCGAAAACGTGGTAACTGCCGAAGAGAGATAATCCCGGATTGTGATTTCCTTTCGTTTCAACGCTTTCGGCGATCCGCATACGATCTACGATTTAAAACTGTCGTGATACCGTTTTGAGCTCTTACATTATTGCATTATAAAATTCACTTACTTTTCAGAACTCAAGACTTTCTTGAGGCATCTTCTCTTCAAAATTTCGTTGAAAAGAACCGTTAAATAAGTATTGAAAAAATTAATGCTGAAGTGCCAAATATTCGTGTTAGACACTGTATTTTCCTTACATTCAAAATTATTTTTTAAATAGGAATATTTTTCATTGAATGTATACGGTAATTAAAGAGCGTATTTGCATACCCCACATTTTTATTTGGAAATAATTTTGCATGAGAAAGATGCCTTGCTGCCACATATGTTTTATTTGGCAGGTATATAAAAATAAATGATATGTGTATTTCGCGAGAAACATAATATCTTATTACAAAGTGTTTCAAGATATGTCTTCTTCAAATAAAATTATTCCAAACAAAATGGGCTGTGCAGACAAGACACTTGTTTTATATCTACTGCTCGCATAAAGCCAGCCATTTTTAACGATCGAAAAGATTATTCCGTGTTTCCTGTAAAAACAAAATATGAATGACTTCGGTAATTTTACCCCGGGGATAGAGGTAGAGGTTATCTTAACGAACAGGATTACACACCGCGCAGAACGATCGCCGATCTTTCGCGCTGAGATAATTAATGACGCGTACGCGCGCAAACGCGATGGCGATTTCGCCATAATTCACGCCGTTATTTTTCGCGCTTCCGAGGCTATCTATTTTAAACGCTCTGCGAAGGAAGTGGCAGTCGGAAGATACTGTCGTACGCGCGCACACGATGATTTACACATGCCTCTGTCATACCTGGAGAGACAAATTAGCGTGCGCCATCGTAGGCACGGCTAAATTCCCACAGGGAATTCGATCTAATCGAAGAAATGCGTTAAACGGTTGAATTTTCTCACAACGTTTACTGACAAAAAATTCTTGATACAATCGAGTCTACATACATGTGTTGATCGCAAATATGTTTTTTTTTTCGCGGCACTAACGCGCGAAATGCGATGTATATCCGAGAGCGATGTCTCGAATGATAACGACAAACGGAGACGAGCCGCATCAAAGAGCGAAAACGACGTCGCATGGAAGAAAGATAGCAAGATAAAAAAATACTTAATACAATAATCAACTGACAGCGGAGCTTGAATCGATTTCTTTTTTTTTTTTTTAAGCGACCGCGATATATTATGTCGTGTCGCAATTTTTTGAGCAAATTCGTGATGCTCGTGAAAGAGGAAAATGAAAAAAAAAAGAGAAAATAGCGTGCGATGTAATCGATACCGATCGTCGCCGCGAAACGCGTTGCGAAAGACTAGAATGATTAAGAATAGACGCGTCGGGCGCGATTGGAAACGCGGGATGCACATAACGACGATTAATAGCGAGAATTAGTATTACGGCGAGTAATGCGATTCGGAGAGTGGGACGTCTCTTTTTGATTTCCGGCAAATATAATATTTATCGTTACATCTATATGTATATATATGTATATATATTATTACGCAAGGGACACAGTATGTACATATTTCGCGACGCAGAGCTGAGTCTCGTTGTGTCATCCAACGTGGAAGAAGACTAAGTCTTTCTGTAAATTGTCTTCTTTTTCGCTCAAAGTAATAAACGAATATCTAAAACTTAAAACAGAACTCTCTGTTAGAAATAATGTGCTATTGTTTCGATAAATTAATATTTGAATACTTTTTTCATGAAAAAATAATTTACATAAATACGCATCAGCAAGTCTTCGAGATACGTAAATCATCAGTTGTGCACAATCGTTGTCCAATGCATACATTCTCGTTTATAAATAAAATTAATAAGACGAAATGTCGAGGGATTAATGAGCGATACGTCGCGTATAACTAATTGGTAAAAAATGCTACTTACCCAATAGCACTCTATTCTAGATGGGATACTTATATTTTTGCGGACTTTATAAACTTCCATTGTGTTGCGCTTCGGTATCGCTTATGTAATTTTTTTTTCTATTTTTTCGTCATTTATCACAGCATCGCGCGTTACAGCGTTTCTGTGTTCTTACGTTTTTGCTTACTTCAACGAGCTGGAAATCGCGTAATTAATCGTACTCGTGTACTTCAACGAGACGTAGAAGCGTCCAATAATAAAAGTCCATTCGTAATTATTACGAGTGTGTGCGACGTCGTGTTGCCGAGTATATTCACGTAATAATAAATTAACATCGCATCTTGTCATTACACTCTATTGCACAACGATAATGAGATACCCGTGCAAATGTATATACTGGACGAATTTGAATTTGCGGACGGATTGCGATTTTTACGCGCGGGTCGGAGGAATCTCGTCGTCGTGCAACTTGACGATTTTCCGTTGTCCCAAGCATATAGCACAGTTGGCGATTCTACTTTTCAAGCGTACATATTTCGCTCGAAAGACGGAATACGCTTTGTTATATAAAATTCCTACGAATTTCAGAGGTCAAGAACGGGGAGGACATAAAACGTCCCGGACCTCTCGCAGTTCTCTTGGGATAATCTCAATTGTGTATTTTCCCCGCGAGAGAGAAAGTCGCTTTCGAAGGATCGACACGTCGGAAAATCTCCCTGGCTCGCGGCGACGTCAATTAACGTTTGCCGAACGCATGGCCTCTCCGATTTCCCGATCGCGATCGAGGATGAGCCTGAGGTCTCCTCCGCCGGTCTCTCTCAGTCCTCGGTGCACTCGGAAGCGAAGCTCTCGAGGTCCACGTAGTGCCCGTTCATGTTGTCCTCCAGCAGCTGGGCGAGATCCCTGCGTAGGATCTGGAATTCCGGCCTGCGGTCGGGATCGGCGTGCCAGCATCGCGATATCACTCTGAAGAGCTCGCTTCGGCAGTGCGAAGGCCTCTCCAGCCGGTAACCGTTGTGCACGTTCCGCATGACTTCCCGCGCCGTCATATCCGGGTACGGTGTTGAACCTGAACAGAGAGCGCAAACGTGATGCGATTATTACGACGGGATGTCAGCACGATGGATCGCCGGTAGGAAGCTACGGCGGAAAATGCGGACATAAGCCATTGATTAGCGTACAATGCTTTACAAGGTACAAAATGGATATTTTCTCCTCTTTCCCCGGTGGACAAGATTATCGTTATTAGAATCTGATGTACGTGCATCAGGATGCACAACTGATGCATTAATTGATATAAGACGACAAATATGAAAGATTCAGGAAGTCGCTAAAAAATTGTGACAACAAATATTTAACGACGATATATTTTTAACTTTTTTTCTCTTTCCTTTTCATTTATTAATTGCGTAAAACTAATCGAATAAATTTAACGAATAAAATAAGAAGATAACGTGAGAAAGTTTAATTATACCGTTTAAGTAATATACTTCTACACGTAAATGTGTCCGCACACCCGTACCTTTGTTTTCATATTAAACAACAGCGAGACACAACAAATGGATTCTCAGATATGCTATTTTCATTTTAAGGGTTTTTCAATAAATCAAAAGTAATTTAAAAAAATATTTGTTTCAACAACAAGCTGTCGAGACTAAGCAAGTCATCTAGTTCTCGAAACGGACGATGAAGGCACCTACCTAAAGTGACGATCTCCCACATCAGAATCCCGAAGCTCCAGACATCGGTCTTCGTCGTGAACAGGGAGTAGATCAACGATTCGGGGGCCATCCATCGGATGGGCAAGGCGTTTCTGCCGTGTCTAGTCTCGATCACCTCGCCGTCCTCGTTGGCGAACCTCGACATGCCGAAGTCGGCGATCTTGCACAGCTTGTTGTGATCCACGAGAACGTTTCTGGCGGCGAGGTCGCGATGGATGATCTGCGGCAGAGAAGGAGAGAGAACCAAGTCACACCGATGAAACGACCGGGACGCTCGGTGAGGTGCACGTTCCATTACGTGTGCGACTGCTTACGGCCTGCCCGCATGACGGGGAATTACACGGGCTATTACGGAGTTCGGTGCAGCGAGTCGTCTCACAAGAGAAAAAAAACTGTCAGCCTTGGCAGCTCGCGCGCGCGACAAAACGGGATTCGCGGCCGAGGAAAGGACCAACGTGGAGTCAGCGCAAAGATAAATATTGTTTCAGCGACATGAGAGTCTCTCGAGTGTGCCCGGTAGATCCAATAAATCTAGCAATATCAATCCGCCGATATGTGCTCAACTACTGGAAAGCAAGGATATCTGAGAAGAATAAATAAACGGGAATCCATACTTAAATTTCGCCGGCGGGTTTTGCCGTCTCGCGCGCGGTGTAATGACACACCTGTATTATAAAAAAGATTTCCGGATTCAAGACCATTGTTCGAAATCTATTATAAAATAGAATCAATATAGAAATATCATATTTATTGTTGAGAAATATTATCTGATTATATATTAAATTTTATCTTAAATGAAAAATTCTTAAATTAGAATAAAATAAAAAAAATCTTAAATCTAGAATAAAATGAGAAATATGATAGCATGTCGGTTTCGTGCTAAATATAATACCTACTATGGTCAGCATCGCGCGTTATAATCAGGTAAAGATTTATTCCAAACGTAAAAATATATAAACATAAATTTATAAATGTTACTCTTGTCTCAAGACAATAAGTCAATCTTATTTAATTCGAGAGAGGAGAATAGTAATTAACCTAATCTTAATATTGCTTCATTTCTATATCGCATAAGATTGAGGTAAGATTAAGTATGTTAAGAATTTTTTTATCAAGAAATTCTTTTTGAAAAGGCAAATGAGAGAAACATCTCTACGCGATTGTAGCCAAATGCGATTGCGCCAAATGTATTTTTTTATCAAGAAATTCTTTTTGAAAAGGCAAATGAGAGAAACATCTCTACGCGATTGTAGCCAAATGCGATTGCGCCAAATGTAGGCAACAATTCGAATGACAGAAAAATGTTGAGGTATATATGCGCAATGTAACTCGATCGCGAAGATTGTGGTACTCGCGTTGCGCCACGCATCCTCATGCGGCCTCGCCGTTATTATTTATTACATTTTAATTAAACCATTCAACGTGCATTCGGTCAAATGTAGTTTCGCCAAACGACCACCGAAAGCCGCAACGAGAGACCAGGGATGATGATTATTATACGCAACGAGACCAGGATGATGCAAATGCGCGGACGTTACGAAACGCGCCGGGCGCATCGCAGCGCGCGCTCTGCGCGACCGCGCCGCGCTTGCCGCTGAAAATTCTGCTTGAATGCAAGCGGCCCGTCTAGAATACATCATCCCCGTGCACGTCTCGCAGCTGGTACAGCTTCGTACACGGCACGCGTACGCTATCATTTAGCGGACTACGTAATTGTCTATTAAACTCGGGAGAGAGAGAGAGAAAGAGAGAGAATAATTTCTGCCGCGCCGTTTCCTGGAAGCTATTATACGGACGGAAACTGGTAATTCGACGTTCGACGGATCGGGCCGCGCTCGCGGGTGGATTCTTTGTTTCCCTAATTGCCTATTAATCGTCAGGTGTTTCCTTCTCAAAGTCGCCACGCGCTGTCTTTCGCGGAAACACGTGGAAATTCGCCTCTTCCTCCGCGCGGCGCGTGATACCTACGAGCCGTTTACTGCGCGATAAAATTTGAGACGGAAATGGAAAAAAAAAAATATTTACTTTGAGCTCGCGCGCGTTCGCGGATTCCCGTTTTAATTGACGATGCGCGCATCAAGTGGAATAAATTGGCACGTCGCGCGGTTGCGCGCAAACTTACGTCTCTCGGCTGTGTTTGGACAAAACATTGGCGGGATTTTTCGGATACCGGTTCGCGCATCGCAATACTTGCAACGCACATGGCAAACATTCCGTCGATGTTATGCTAATCTTTGTTTATCGGCGGCCGTGTATTACAATCCAGAATATACTATCGGAAACCAGTTGATCGCCCACCTAAGAATTTCGTAATGAAACTAAATCACATTTCTGTATAAATGGAAACACATATACGAATAAGTCGTATTTTTGTTAATCACGCGATTATATAAGAGTTCAAAAATCAAAAATTGTTCAGCAGGATGTTAATACTTTGTATAAAAAAAAAAAAATCAGAAATAAAATTATTTCCTTATGGAGACGAATTCTCTGTAACTTAAGAGTTGTAAATATTCCCTCGAAAACGTACGAAATCGTCTCGTCCACATTTTAACTATAAAACATAATATCTTATACAGTAAGAAAACTAATCAGCTCGCGTAGAGATTGTAAAAACATCGCCGTTGAAAGTTGTTTATCGTTCTCGAATCGAATGAAAAAAAAAAAACATTGGACTGGTATCCTCGAATTCGTTCTTTACGAGACATAAAATTCAATCTTTGCCTAGTGACACAGATCTCTCTCGAGGCGGGAAGGATTCTTCAACAAACGGCGATGGTGGAAGTTTTACGATTGTGTGAAAATGTTTGAGTTTAAACATCATTAGCGGATTATTTGTCGTGCAGTCGATGCTCCCCGCGACCTTCCACGGGCAGCTGTCCTCGAGAGACTTTCACTTTTCATCGGTTTTTTTTTCGCAAAGTACATAAAAGAGTTTACGCGCGAGGTCTTTTTTTTAGGTCCATCCTTATAAAACAAACAGAAACGGGATTTAACTTTTCAGATCGCGGAGTTTTAATTCTCAGATCGAATCTTCCACGGAGTATAAAATTTGCGTTGGGTATTACTACGAAACCACAAGTGCCTCGCGCAAAACTATTTATTCGGTCGTAAAGAAGAAATATTAAAATCGCGCGCGATGCGCGTCTCAGCTAGACGAGAATGGGTAATTATGTGCATTAATTCGCATCACCGCATACAACTGCAATTTTGCCTATCTATGTTTTAAGTTGCGCAAGGTAAAAACTATTAACCATGTTTCTCAAGTAATGGGATGTTAATAATTGACCGTAAAAAATTGTTAAACGTATGCAATACTTGCAGCCATGTCGCAAGCGATAAGTGTTGATTAATTTAAAAAACCGTGCACGCGTTGTCATAAGAAGCGCCACGAGTTACGAAATTAATAACTTAAAGAATTCTAAGTAAAATAAGTGGTTACAGTATATGTTGATAAGCGTTATATTTCTTTTTAACATTTATTGTAGGCGCCAAGTTGAAATAAACGCTAAATATATATTCTAATTTATGTTATTTAAGTAATTTATCAAAATATTGCAAAATTATTTACCACGACTATAAAATGCATTATCTTATAATGTGTGTCTAATATTTCAAATGTTTCGAATGGATAAGAAACTGCCCGCATCTAAACTCATATCCTTTGACGAGTATTCAAGGTGATATCCCGAACGAATCGGCCGGACGATACTTACGGCACGGGGGGGCCCGTTAAATCGTGGGGAGATTAACGAGAGGGCCTCTATCTAAACATTTTAAACGGCCGCGGTGCGTATCGATCGTCGAGGTGTCGCGTCGAAATTTATCGCGGTTCCCTTCCCCCACTTGTTTAGCGATCCCACGATCCTGTGTCCTGTCGGCGGTATGCAAACGCAAAAGAAAGAAAGAAGGGAAAATCGGCGAGGGACGAATCGCCAAGCGATTGTCAAGCAGTCAGGCCTGACGCTATACCTTTTTCTCCCGCGGAACGACAATTATCTGTGTCGAGAGAAGTCTGGAGGACACCTTCGGTCCATAAATAAGCAGTAAAGAAAAATTAATTAGCACGCACATCGATCGCAGCGATCGCGCGTCGTTGGTGTAACGTCATTCGATCAGAACTGCCACGACACATCGGCACAATAACGCGAGATTTTATTATTGTACTGTATATTTTTTATTGTACTGGAAGGGATTTTTTTTCTCTGAAAGACAACTAGTCACATCGAGAGTCACCTTGCGGATATCTTGGCCGTGCATACAAAAAATTAATTCAATATTACAATAGCGTAATAATTTGCATAATTGAAAGGCGACACGTCATCGAAGCTCTTACTAATTCGTCGGTGCATAATATAGTAATTAATATAATGTAAAATTTCATGTTATTGTTATGGCATCATCATTACTTTAATAAAGAGTTTTTTTAAAACGTTATTTATAAATTGCATAATTGTTTTTTTTTTAGCAATAAATATAAACCATTTCAAAACAAAACAAAAGGAATTATTTTAAACTAAAGAAATTCAATACCAAATAGAACTGCGTGAATAAACTTTTTATCATACACTAAAATTCTGCTCATTTATTATAAGTGTGAAAAATAAAAATGCTTTCTCATTTCTGGAAAATAAACGTGAGAATTGTATCATAATATCATATTTTTTAATTAAATTTGAAGAAAGTATTTCTATAAAATTTTTAAAAAATTGTAGAATACAACAGAGAGAATGTTGCACAAAAAAAGATAATAAAATATGCATCGTCGCGCGCGTTGATTTCATCGTACATACCTATAAATACCGTAATGAGATTTACTACGACTCGTTTCTTTTCGTATTCGTCGACATTCTTTTTTGATGAGGTTCAATGTAATGATGCGTACGTGGGAGAAAAGCCGGAAAAGAAAGCGAACGAGGATACTGTCTACTTCACGCGGACTTATCGAGAAACAGCCTTTACTCTTGTTCATGAATATGAAATATAAATGTTAAAAGCACTTCAGCATGTCATGTCAGTCGTTCTCACGAATATTAAAAAGTCAGCTGAAATTTAACTGATTCTCCTAGTCAGTAATTGTACATTAGAGAGACAGAGAGAGAGAGAAAGAGTTGAATCTTGATAAACTTCAATGTTTATACTGGAAGCTGTCTTAAAAATATTCATACCTTCTTTGACGCAAGATACTCCATGCCTCTAGCCACGCAGTAGCCGAAAACCGTGAGATCCCTGGATGTCAAGGCCGCCGAATCCTCGCTGAAGTTGTAAAAGTACTGCCTGGTGCGGTGATCGCGCAGGTACGCGAGCAGCTTGCCGTACATGACGTACTCCAGTATGAGATAATGGGGCTCTGCAATCAGGGAAAATCACGCATTAAATCCTTTATGTTCATTCATGGAAGAGAACGCATTCGAGCGTGTCGCTCCCGCGTTACGAATAAGGGGATCTCAATCGACGAAGGATACAACTCTTATATTCATCAGCTCTTACTCACGATTCAAACTGAGTAATGCGATTATTAAGGCGAACGTACAGTATCACGAGGTGCGCCGTGCATGAGTTTGCTTCAATGACGCTTTACCATTCGAGGTACACTTTTCACACGAGATACACTGCATGCGGTTCGATAAATTGAAAACATCGTCGTGTGCGTAGAAAAACGGCATTTTTCTCAGACACCGATTACGTTTTCCAAATCTGGTCGAATTTTTTCCAACTGCATTGACATGTGAACTTTGTTGCATTTATAGTCGAAGGGGATAAAATGTAATCGACATTTGAATTACGAATGTATATCTATGCGAACTTTTGTGTATTATACAAATATAACTTTATTTAATTTGTAATAATTTATTTAAACACCAACGTATTTCTCAATGTTCATTAGAGTAAATTACAACATAGCGTATCATTATTTATCATTATGGACGTCAAATATTGCGACATATTATATTTAATCGAGAAGTAACATTTTTGGAAATATTTAATGATTTCCTTAAAATTACATTTTATGGGGTTTATTTAACTACATTTAATTACGTTTAATTTCCTGCATGCTTTCGTCGTAACGACGACGAACAAAAAGGGGATGGACGCAAGCGATTAGAGGAACATATGGTGAGGATGTCGGAGAAATATTTCACGTTCGAAATAATTTAAGAGACGCGCACTCGCGGAGGAGCCCTCGCTTAGTACCCGCTTGATTGTAACTTATGGCGCCACTTTTGTCGGCGTGTCGAATCGTAATTCTCATATTAGGTCGATATTACCATCCACCCTAATAATTCTTGTTCGTCAAGTAGCGTATGTTAGCGTGCGCACCTCGCTCCAGATTAATCGCGTTTGTACGTTTTTTCAAGAGTAGATTAAACGTAATGTTTACAATGCTCGTTTCGATCGTATCAAGTCGCGCGTTATTAACGTGTATTAGCAATTTAATATCGCGAAACTCTACATTGAATAAGTTGTATCGCAATTACTACGCTATACTATGCGCGCTTACGAACATTAATATGCATATCAATAAGCTTTAATTAAATCCAACATGAAATTGTCAATTAACAGGAAAGTACACATAAAAAGATCGTTGCTAAACTTGTAATTATACGTAATAATTTGTTTAAAAAAAAAAAAGATAAAAGAGATTATTTTACATGCAAGATTATTCTTGAAAATTGATAAGTTCTAGAGATTTTTTCTTACTGCAATTTTATAATCCTTATTTGCGAAGAACAATTGATAAAAAAGGAGAAACTAATTCCAGATATTTATATGTTTTATAAAGAATTGCAATAAAAAAATATAAAATTAAAAAATTGCTGCGCACAAAGGAAACGATTTCGTTCCAAGAGCAATGACTCTTATCTTCTCTTGTTGGCGCATGATATATCGGGGCTCCATTGTCAAATGCGCGTGTTGAATTCGTTGAACTCTACGTTGCAAAAATCGCGGATCCGCGCCTATGCCGATCGATATGGCACGCGCGCGGTACAATAGTCGTGTCGAATGCAAAGCGATACGAGTGCGCAAACGGCGATACGTGGGCGCTTGCGGTAGATATCGTTTGCGTTTCATTTTCACGTAGATCATATTTTGCGCGTGCAAAACCGCGACAGCATTTCGACGAAAGCGACGAAGCGACGACACGAGGCAAGTATATATATAATACATTCGGCCGACGATCCCCTCCCTCGAATCTCTTTTTAATCTTGCGGACGTCGTATGCAAATCATCCGGAGATTGCTGATTGTAAACAAAATTATAAACGCGAATGGCATTGGCAGGCTCTTTGACGCAGATCGACGGGATCTTTAAGACGCAAATTATAATGACGTGCAATTCTGTTGAATTTTTTGGGACAATTCTCGCTTTTCGAGACGGAGAGGATGACGCAAATATCAGGAGCTCACATTTAATGACACGCGAAGTTTCGTCGTGAAGCGAAACGCCTAAAGCTAACCGCGCTATCAGTCTATTAAATTTCCGCAGGATATTATCCGCATAGAAGATACAGAGAACTTGTACAAGAAAAAAAAAGACACCGCGTTCCCGAGTTCGCAGATTTTAAAGAATGCCGCTCCTTAATGTCGCTCCTATTTCATACACGTCGTCGTGAAAGCAAATAAGCCGAAACTTGATTAGGGACGGAAAGAAAAGAAAACGAACGACGGCTAAATACGAGAGGCTCATCATTTTTATCGAAAACACGCGAGGAATTTCTTTTTGGAATCGTTTCGCGATTGTAAAAAATTCAACGTAATCGCGATAATGTCTTCATCAAGCATTAATGCGCGACATTTTAAATGTTATCACTTAATTTATTTTTCTAAAATTGACAAAATTAAAAGTTTTGTTTCCTAAAATGTTAGAAACACGAGAACTTATCGAATTTATAATATACCACTCGGTTCTCCGGCTGCCAATAATTCTCTCGGCGTTCGAAGCACGACCGTTCGACGTGAGGTTTATTTTCGTCCGAACGGCGATCGTAAAAACGGTCGAAAGACTTTCCTTTGACGAACGTCGCCGGAAAGAAATTCGGACGTGGCCGCAAACGATAAATGCGGTGGGGCCGAAATTTAAATGTCGTAAATTTTATACGGTGGCTCCGTCTCGCGTTCCTGGACCGCCAGGAAACTTTCCACGCTCGGCCATTGTGGTCGAGGGCTGACGCGAGGAGAACCCTTTAAGGCCCACTCCCTGAGATGCGTCAGCGACGCCCGAAATGCAGACACACGTGCAGACACACCTCTAGAGTCTGCGATTTGCCGCGGCAATCTTGACTCTTATTGCACTCACGATGAGCATTTTATCGTTACGACTTGCCTACCGAACGAATATCTTTCCTCGCCGAGTTTATTCCTCATGAACGATCTATTTCGGCGATTAAACGCCGGTTACGTTCGCTTCGCTATTCATCAGAGTAAAAAATACTAAAGTCATTGGCATTCCAAACGATTGTTAATATTTTTTTAATAAGAACTTTAGTCGACTTTATTGGCGATTTTTACTTTTATTAAGGAAAGCTGTCTATTTCTCTAAAATGCAGACATGTATAAATAACAAATTTATTAAAAGAGAAATTACACAAAAATTGAAATGAGATTATAACTATAACTTGACTTTTTAAATAATATATCTTAATTAATAGAAATAATAGCGACACAATTTTATAAATTAAAGCGAATGGTAACGCCATCGAATCGTTGCAGTTAAATGGATCGATCGTCTGCCCGGATCGTATCGTCGCTCGCTTTTTCATTTAGCTTCCTTTGATCCGCGAATGGAACGGCCGTATCGCTAGGATACCTACTTAATAAACGTATTGTGCCGCGAAGAGGTGCTTCGCGAGGATGCGTATGGAAATTTATACGGACGATGAGAATGACGATATCGAACAGCGCGTGGAAGAGGAGAAAGACGTATAATGGTCTCCGCCTCTCTGTGATTCATCTCGACACGTACAAAATTGCTCGCTTTTTTGACGTCTTTATCATAAAGCCCTCCCGCAGGAAAATGCACAATTCAATGAAATTAATTTCCGATCTGCGCGATAATTATATAGCCTTCTCGTGTTCGTCGATTATTTAGTTTAAAAAAAGATTATAAGCGCACAACAACGCGCGAACGCAATATGTGGTAAGATTTTTAATATTATTCAAAGGTATTATTCCTTGCATGTAAATTTGATGCGCATTTCTTATCGCTGTCGAACATTATTAAAATTCTGGAAATATAATGAATTTCTTCTGGCAATTTTTCGTAACAAAAACTGATCCTTCGAAAGTAATCCATTGGAGCATTCATCCGCAGGGAAATTATTTGCCAATTCGTTGCGCGTGTACGCTTTCGATAATGATCGGAGGCACATCAAGCGCCTCCGATTATCCGATCCGGCATCGTGGAAGCAGGATGCTGCGATTTTTAATGAATCAAGATACGATGAAATAACAGGGAGAACGCATACGGCGCGATTACACTTTTGTTCGCAAATAGATGCAATCACTGATATTTTTATGCAAACTTATGCGACTCGCATCGAAGAAACAACTGCGTTGCATCGAGTGAAAAATTGATTTTGATTGAAAAAATATTAATAACTTGCGTGCCGTGAAGAGCCAAATTTCAAGACGGCGCGGATTTTGATTTTAACGTCGAGAAAAGGAACAAAATTGCCGGAAAATTGTATAATACATAAATTGTTTACACGACGATTTAATTTGCAGCTGTCAAGTTTGCGAATGTTAACCGCAATTATCTATCGTGGCATAGATAACGAACATACGAAACGGATAAATCTTCCTGTACAAAACAAAGCGATTCTCACGCAATTATCATATATTAACAGCCCTCTAATTTATCGTCCGCAGCACAATCGCAGTTAAGATAAATATTTTCATGCTGACCGTTTAATCGTTCCCGCGTAACAATCCCCTTATGCAACCATTTAAAACATCTAAACGAGCTTTATTCGACAACAATAAAACACGCGAAGTGCATCTCGCACATTTTACCCCGTAAAATTTATTGGTTTCCGATGTAAATATGCGGTTTAGAAAAGCGATAAAATTTTTTCGAGGCATTTATAGTTTCGACGAGAATCCATGATATAAAGTCGCGCGATAAAATCGCGGGAGATCGCGATAGAGATTTATTGTTTTACCATATTTACTTATTACTTATTAACTACGTAGGATGTGTTGTTCGCGGAAATTTTAATAGGTTGAATAATGAGCTGGGTCGCTTGACTCGTCGCTCGTCCGCGAATTTCGATTAAATTGCAAGGACGACTAGTGGCATCGCGAACGCATCGCGGCGACGCGGACGCGACGGCGGCGGCGATCCGATTGGAGGAGTCGCAATCCAGACGCGAGTTCTATCTGCTGTATTTCTCTCTTCGGCGGGACGTGATTACTTAATTACTATACACCGGCGATTCCGCGCATTTCTGCGTCGGCACTTAAAACGCGCCATCGATTTTTTTTATAAAGTTATACGCTGCCGAGGCCCGTGCGCGCGCGAGCTGCCGCACGCAAGGTCGTAGATAAGTGACGGTAATAAGGAAGATTCACCGAGTGCAGTTGCGACGTGTGCGTGCAGCTGCAGGTGCATGCAGCAGCGTCGATTGCTCGCCGACGCGAAGTCGAAATTAGGGACCGCGGCATGGGAGGATGCGTTTCCGCGGGAAATTGCGCGATGCGTGTCGCCCCGTCGGTACGTGTCGATGCCATATGGTGTATTTCTCCACTCCGGCTGATTATAGCCGTACGGCCAGATGCGCAACGTATGCAGGAATCAAGAATGCAAGTAATTTTCCAGTTAATTGAAAAAAAAATGATACCCACGTTCGCTTGGATGCTCCGAGCAATTACGTTTGAGAAGTGTTATTAAATTCAATCTTATATATCACTTCTTTGTTTTTCAATTTTTTAAGTTTCTATTCTATTTTTGATTGAAATTTGTAACAGAATTGTTAATTAAAATATAATTAAATGTCTATACATGTCCGTTAAATTAATTGAAAAATTATTCGCATCTTGTATATTTTGATGTTAATACTTCATTAAAATTTAAATTTTTTATAGCGTGTAACTATGCTCAAGTCCTGCATTACGTTTCCATCGAAGCAATATCGAATGCAAAATATAAGTCGATTGATGTTATAAACAACTTACCTTCCTCGGTGCAGCAACCTAAAAGTGTTACAACGTTTGGATGACTGCCCAATTGCTTCATGATTTCGAGTTCTCGATCTAAGTCCTCCTTCTCTCGATCGGAGGCGCCTTCCTTGACGGTTTTCACTGCCACTAATCGGGTCGTGCCTTGGTGACCTGTCAAATCGTCGGCTTCGGCCTTCCACACCTGACATTTCACAATTCGATCATATTTCAAATGTTTACTTAAGCTTTAAAAAGATTGTGTTCCTCTTTAAAATTCGCAAATAATTACTAATTCTTGTCTTTTTAGCAATTTAAAGCAATTCAATTTAGATAATATCAATTATTGATATTATAATTGAATAATTATAATTTAAAGAATATCTGTTTTCTCAGATTTTATTAGAGGTATGTATTGTTGCTACTTTGGAACATTTATAATCTTCAGGATGGGAAAACAATTATTACGAACCGCTGATCCGTCTTCTCATTATTAGAAAAAAAAATTCTATCGTGGTAGATTACACGTTCCCTAGTTTTCCCACACAATCGATTTTGCATAATCAATTCAATTATACCAATATTACGCTAACTGCCCATTATCGTATTTCATAGGTACGACGTTCAAATCCCACACATCCAAAGCTGTTATTACTATTCAAATCAACGCGGATAGGATTGCACAAGTAAGAGAGTAGAATAAAATCGCGCTCGAGGATAAGTAAGTATATCGGTAGGAGGAACCGCTGAACTTGGCCGCGAAGATTACGTTTCCGCATGGATTTCAGGTATTTCGTTAAAATCTATCCGACAGAGCCGCAGAAATTACAGGCTTGCTTTTTTTTTTGCAGAGACGCGCCGCAGAAAGTGTCTTCTCACCTGGCCGAAGTTTCCTTGCCCGAGGACTGTCTGTAATCTAAGCTTATCTCTAGGAAACTCCCATCTGGATTCCTGGGATGGCGGAGACGGCGGTTTCTCAGCTTCGTGACACTGCGCGGAGAGAGACAGAGAGAGAGAAAGAGAGTCGAGGGGTTAGACTGCAGTTTAAAATGGTGCCGAAAATAGCCGCTAATTCAGATGCACGAGAGAGCATAACGTTCGACGCGTCGCGTCGCGTCGTCGGAAATTAATCGTGTCTCGCGCCTATCACGTAAAGAATTTCTTCCACGTTATGAAAAACGAACTTCCGGGATTTTCCATTGACGTGTGACCGCGCGACTAATCGCGATTTTCCTATGCGCGACGTGACGAAATCAATCTTACGTATTACATATGCAAACAACTCGCTCTCTAAATATTTATGCAAATTATTTCAGATAAGAGACGGAGAGATAAAGGTTGTTAAAAAATTAAACTTAATATAAAATTAATATCTCGATACTAACGCATAATATTATTTACTTCAAATATCTTTCTGCTTGGTCATTAAATTGAATAAAGTGTACAATTCAATCGGGGGGGGAAAAAAAAGACTCGCACCATGTGACGAACGCGTCGAAAAAGCTGTGCAAACAATTACTACGTGACTCTCGCGTTAAATATGCCGAGTGCGTTCGTTAAATTTCCTCACCAAGTGCTGTATCCTCGGTAGTTTCGTGATCGCCTTCTCGATGGACGTCTTGAAGTCGCCGTTTTCGAGATTAAGAGCGTCCTTCCTGCAGCTTATCTCCGATGACGTGTCCGACTCCTCGAGCACCTGCATAAGCAAATCAACGTCAGCGCAACGTGTGTATGCAACACATGCCGCTCGCACGCGCGCGCGTCGGGGAGCCGCTCGAATCGGTCGTCACTCCCGTTTAATTGGGAGGCGCAATGCCGCGCGGCGGCAATGAAGATCAAGCGAGATAGATCGAGGCGTTTCCGAGAGTACTTCCGCGAGTATAATATTGTCGGAATAAAGTTAAACGAGCGCTATGCTCGTCGATTCTCCACGCGAGCAAACGAACGTCGACGTTTCTTACACGACGGCGATAAGATGCACGCAAATAATGTGATGACCAATTGTGCCCGTCGTATGTGCCTTTCAAGGAATTCGAGTTAACTATAATAACAGTTGCACTGAAGTGTTTTTAACCGAGAATAGCAACAAACAAAGTAATCTTATATACATCTCACAAAAGCGAGTTTCTTCCTGTAAAAATATTTTTTACAGTTTATGCAAAGCTATAAATAATTTATGTTCGTATATAAATAAGAAAATAGTTTTTAGTTTTAATTATAATATTGAATAAAAATTATAACTTTTAAATTTAATCTGCCATTCATTTTCGTAATTTTTGTCTTTCCTCTTTTTCTTGTCATTATAATGTTTAATTGTAATTACTATAAACCTTATAAAAAACTTAATACGGAAAACTTTGAGTCTATGTTTAAATCAAAATTAACTCTTTGATATTGCTTGATATTTGGATGACGCATAAAATTTGCAAGTGTCCTGTTACTCATTTGTGAGTGACGATTTTATAACACAATTAAGAATGATTTTATTAAGTATTTAAAACATTGAAGAAAGAATATAAATTATATTAAGACAATACAGTATTAAAACAATATACTCAATTTATTAAATTCTATCCAAAATAAGCTTACATCAAAGTGTTAATATAAAAATTCGTATTTAATCATATAATTATGCGACATATTATTAGGTTATTTTATAAAAAAGAACCTCTACATCGTTCTGATGTTATGCGAGAATCGTCAGGAAAGCGGAACGGTTTGTCTGTCGACGGTGAAGTTTCAATCTCGGAGAACACAGTACGCCCGAGTTTAGCATGATCGGGCCGCGGGACGAGCCCCGAAAACGGTTCCCCGCTTATTTATTTGGTCCCTGTACTCGTCCTTTCTCCCTTCTCCCTTCATTTGAACTGCTCCTTTTTTTTACCGTCCACGCAAACCTTTGTACCGCCATTCAGATTTATTTCCATGACTGTCAGGTTAAATTTAAATTTATGCTCGCGTTATTATTTATGAACGTCTCGCGGGCGTGAAAGCATTTCGCTTATGTCATTTCCGGAAATTTTGTGGCCTCCACCATTAATTCCGCTATCATTTCTGACGCCAAAAAAGGACGACTGTTGACATTTGTTTTATTCGCGAGAAACAGAATTTCCGCAATAAAGAACTATAATTTACAACAGAAATGTGGTTCATCAAGAAATGCTATGAAGGATAAATGTTTGAAGTGCAAATTCGCGAGATATCTAAGTGAAAGTACATTATCGATGTAATGATTAATAATCACACGAATATAATGCTCGGCACAAATATTCTTATTACCAGACGCGATTCTCTCGGTACATGAGGTCTCTCGTGCGAGATCTTCGACCTTCGACGCAACCTTCTTGTCGGCTAACCGAGGAAAATTCCGCGGAAAAAGAATCATCCTGGATAATGAGCCGAACAATTTTCGCATTATCCAACATTCGCGTTCGTCTTCTCATTACTGCGCGCGCACGAATCATCCCGAGATTATTCTGCATACAATGAACTTGTAGTAATTGTCGGGAGAAGGGAAGGGGGCGGGAGGAGGAAGGGATTGTTAACCATTTCGTGAATCATCGCGAAGCTGCAGCCTTCGCGAAGGAATTACTCGATGACCGCGTTTGATACCCATTCACGACGAAGTCACGGCCGTGATAGATAACGTGGCGTGGAATTTGCAGCTTGCGAGAAAAGTGATAATTACAATTTGATCCTACGGAAATATGTCTGTCTTTTTTTTTTTACATTACACACAATCAGATCTTAGCCTGCAACGCACACGTCTCATTGCGGATTGAAATCCATTTTAATTATAAAACAGCGCGGCTGTTCGGGACGGTATACTTTTTGATAATTACGGGTCGCATTCTGGATCAGTTAACGATCTGTAAGAGTGGCGATTTTCAGACATCGCGTCAGCATCGCGCTAATTATCAAAATGTTTGGTGTAATCCGCGCGGCGATATTCGCGAGATAACGAACGTCGCCGGTTAAACGACCAGTGCGATAAGCGCTTAACGCGCGATGATAATCCCGGTCATGCCGCGTAACGGTACATAAGTAGCACTGCTTGCACGAACGGCGATTTGTATCCCTAGCATCCTGGGGTGCATCAATTAAAAACGAAGTTACATGCGACGCTTTTTCATTCCGTTCGTCCGCCGTCTCTTCCGCTGGTACGGTGATCTCGATCGCGATCACACTCGACAGAGTAGATCTGATCTCCAATTAAATCATAATGTTCTGTGAGTTATATCAGAACGGAACACTGTGCTGATTGTTAAAGACATTACGCGATCTCTATCTATCTTGTCTCTTGCTCGTTTTATCGAAAAAATTTTGATTAATTTGGATTTTTACTTTCAATTTTTTTTTCTTTAAAAATTTTGCAACATGATCCACATGTTGCATCTTTTAATGCTTAACCTTATGTCATATTAAACACAACAAAACTACGAAATGAAGAATTGAGATTGTATAAAACTTGAGTTTAAATAAATATTAAAATATCCATAATTTTAAAAACACAGTAAAAACATTGGTAAAAATTCCTTCATTTGCGATTAATAAATTAGTCAATAAAATTGAGGACAATTTTTACAATATATATTGCGCATATTTGGCATTTATAAAAAATACGTGTTGCTATTCTCCGTATTATTCTATTTTAAAATATCATATCTGTTATAAATCTGAAGTCCGCAAGGAGCTTTCCCTTCGAATATCCCTCTCACAATCACGTGTCTTCGATATTTAAGCGGATTCAAATCGCGCCTACCAGTTCTCCGATCGCAATGCCGACTCCGTCCCTCTCCGGGAAAGAGAAAGACGAAATATCACGAATCGATCTAGAGCGTGGCGCGGAGCGATTCGCGCATACTTTCTAATCCTGATCTAAGGCAAATCGATCGCGGGCGCGCGGGCACGCTGAGCGACCTCGAAACCTCGTATACTCACTCACCTTACGATTCCTAAGTATCAGTCTTCTGAGAATGAGCCCGACGCCGACGGCGATGGGAAAGACGACGAGCGTGGCCAGGATGTAGCCGACCACGGCGACCGTCTCCTGCGTGGCGATCGCGTCGCCGTCGTGCCGCTTCAGTATCACCTCACTGACGTTCATCGACTCCCGCGGGCTCACCGAGATCGGCACGCCGCTCTCGAAGAACGTCCTGTTGAGCCCGTCGGGATGATACATCGTGCCGTTGTACTCCGGCAGAGTCGAGTGATGATACGCGGGCCTGTACCTCGTTCGGTTGGCCGTGGGCGCGAACGAGGGGCCTTTGGACACAGGAGGGACGACGGTGGAGTCCTGGAATTCGCGGTTGTCCTTCCGGGGGCTCGTCGGGTTCACGGTGGATTCCTTAAACTTGGGAACGGGCACAGTGGTCGATGTACTTCCGCCGATTTCCGTCGCCGATTCGGGAATTTTCTCCGTCGTCGTTGTCGCCGTCGTTGTCGTCGTCGTCGTCGTCGTTACTGTTGTCGTCGACGCGGAACTATCCTCGTTCTGCGACTCAGACTCCACCGGAAGCACCACCCGAGGTCGTTCCGTGCCGCGCGCGAGCCCGTCCATCGGCCCGCTGCCGTTGAAGATATCCGACGTGTTGTACAGATGCATGATCGGCAGCACGTCGTCCTTGTCTTTCGACTTGTCCGACAAATTGCGCGCTCTGACTTCCGGCGATCTCTCGCCGGACACGCGTTTCCCGTTCTCCGTTACCGTGGACGTCGACGAGGTAGGCAGGACCTTCGACCTTCTGCTCGACGTCTCGTCCGCGCGAACGTCACTCTGACTTGGCATAACCGTCGTCGTCGTCGTCGTCGTTGTCGTCGACGTCGTCGTCGCGTCTTTAGCTCGGTACCTCTTTTGGATCTCCGAAGGATCCAGATTGTTCTCTTCCTTTGCGACATCCGTCGGCCTCAAGGTGTCAGTCTCCGGATCGACGGTGGTCCTTTCCACTTCCGTCAGTATTCTAGGCGTGACCGGGAAAACCGGTGCCGCCGGCACTGCCGTCGTCGTCGACGTCGTCGGAGTCATCGTCGTCGTAATCGCGATCGTTTCATCGACTTGCTCGGTCACTGCCATGGTCGTCTCGACAACGCCGTCCGTCGTTGCGTTCACGTCACTCTCCGATGTCTTGTTCGACATCGCGACACCACGATCGTCCTCGGCATCGCTTCCGTTATCACTCTCCTCGTTTAAACTCGACGCGGTAACGACGTCTTCCTCGAGAGCGTGAGACTTTTCCAGCTCCGTCGTGGTGGTCGCGTCAACGAGGACGGACGGATCGGTCGCGTCCATCGTTTCGTCGGTCGAATTTCGATTCAGAATTCCCATGGCGGTGGTTTCCTGCGAACTACTGTCACCTGGCACCTCGTTCACCCCGCTGGCACGCGCAACTTCCCGTAAAGAATCGGCACCTGGCGCCTCATCGTCCGTAACTTTCCCGCGATTCGCAACCCGCGTTCCGTTCGACGGTCGACCGTTCACCACTGACTTATCCTTAGCACTGTCGATCTTCTCCTCGCCGGATTTCACTCTTCTGGTAACGCTCGAAGGAGACACCCCGCTCGAAGAGGCCAACACCCTGCGACGCTTGCTCGTCGCCAGGGACGAGGATTCCTCGTTTACAGTCGACCGTTGATTCAGCACCGCGCTGGCGCTCTTCCTGAGGAATCTCCGATCGTTCGCACCCTCCTGCTCGCTAATCCACTTGGTGTGATTCCACTTGATCGATCCTCTGTTTCCGGTCTCCGGCGACTTGGCGGGCCTCGTCGACGATACGACGCTGTCGTTCGCGGCTGAATGCAACGGGGGCGAGGTGGCCGCCGCTCGCTGGCCGGTCGCTCGTTGCTGCTGCGGTACAGCTTTCCTCGATCGTTCCCCCACCAGACCGTCGACAATACTGGGCAACGCTCCAGCAGCTGCGGCTGGCTCGACGGTCGCGCCAGCACTGAGTCCCGCCGGCGTTCGTGCCGGTTCTATACCGCCGTCGCCGGCACGAGGAAGCAGAAGAGGAGAAGACGGCGGCGGCGGCGGTGGTGGTTGCTGCTGTTGCTGCTGCTGCTGCTGCTCAGGCCGCTGTTGCGACGGTCCACCGCTCGTTATCTCGGCACCGCTACCAGCACGACGACCAGCGGCACCACTACTACCTCCTCCTCGCTCTTCCTCCTCGCCTCTTACTCCGGGCCCGGTGTAGTTGCGCAACAATCGCGTCACGTTCGTTATCGTATAAGCGTACACGTGTTGCTGCGGATGATGCTGCTGCTGCTGTTGCTGCTGCTGCTCCTGAGGCTGTTGATCCGAGACAACGGCGGCGGCGACAGGTGCGGACGACTCCGTCGTCATCAGGGTCGATGTCGATGACGACGGCGATGATTTCGGGGCGACATCGCCGCCGGCCGACACGCGAACCGGTCGATCCGCGATGGGATCCGCGACCGGTTGCTGCTTAACGGTATTCCGATGGGTCCGCTCGGTCGCGATCGCGAAACTCGAGAGCCCGAAGCTGTCGTCCGGCACCACGATCCGCAGCGTCGACGATTCCGTCTGTGACATCGGCTCGGTGCCGTCGCCGCCCTCGCGAGGCCTCGCGCTCGCTCGCTGCGGCACCGACACTGCCTTCTCGATGCTCGTTAACTTGTGCTCCGATTTCTCCGTGTTCTCCGCTTCCGTTCTCGCTTCGGTGACTTTCTTCTTCTCGCTGTCCTCGCCTCCGAAATCGTTGGCCGGCCTCTGGAGACTGTCGGCGGTCCCGTTCGACGCCGCGATCGTCCCGTTCGAGAGTTTCGCGTTGATTTCACTCTCCGCGACGACCGCCGCCGCCGCCTCGGCATCGCCATCGGACTGGCGCTGCCGCGGTATTTGGGTCGTCGTGCTCGCCTCGCCGACGTAGGCCGCGTTTCTTCTATCTGGCGGGACCCGATCGCGGCCGCCGTCCGCGTGAGCGGACAGGTCGCCGCGGCGGAATCTGTCGTCGACCGCATTCATCTCGCTCCTGGTTTCCGACATACCGAGAATACCGGGGCTCGACTCGTTCCCCGGAATAACATTCGACACGACGTCCGCCGTAGGCCTGGGCTTCCGGTAATACAGCCCGTTACCCGAGCTCCTGAACGTATTCTTGATCCTCGACACTTGATTCTTCTCGACCGTCCGACGCTCCAACGTCTCCAGCGCGATGTTCATCTCGTCGTTCATAATCTCCTCCACCGGCGCGGCGATCGTCGCGCTGAATCTCTTTGTGGAGTATCTCCTGCGCGAGGAAGTCGGGTTCGTCGATGTCGCCTCCACGGAGTTGTTGTTGTTGCTACTGGTGAAGTTTTGCGCGTCCGGCTGGAGCTTCTGGCCGAAGTAGAGAAACTGCGACATATCCTCCACCGGAATATTGCTCTCCACTGGCCGGAAGTGATTGTACAGTGACTCTGGCATCGACACAGTGTTCTTTCTGCGCGTATCCGCGTCGCCTAATTTTTGATTGGTCAACACAGCGCTCGAGGCAGGTGTTGAAGAGACGTTCTCGTACTTCCCGGTCGTCGGCGTTAACGAAGCTTCGTTTTTAAGCGTCTTCGTGGCTAGCGATTCTACCTCCGCTCCCGTCGCGTCGAGCACGAGCGTGGAAACGATTTCTTCGATCGATTTCCTCGACTGCGGAGTTTCCTCCTCCTCCTCCGTTCGCGCGCTCGTGACGTAAACGTCGTGTCTGGTCTCCTGGGTTTCGAGAACATCCGGAGGCTCCCTCGAGGTGACGTCGCCAGGTCGTGACCTACGACTGGAGAGAGTCCGGTGAGGCTCATGTGAGCGTTGATTCAAAATCTGTCGTCTTCTCGCAGTGAGAATGTTGCGTAGCGCCTGCTCGCGTTTAGCTTTTGACGACGACGGTTCCGCGTGTAGGGACGCACGCCCGTGACGATGTTCCGTGACCGACGTGTCTGTGAACAAATTAACGGAATCTCTGGTAGATATCTGACACACTCTTAATTGCCTCGAATAAATTTAATCAATCTGAAGAAAGCAGATGATAACTTAATAAATATTAATGAATATAGGGGGCATAATTTCGATGACCCGCGTAAAAGAATAATTTTAAAAATTCGCAGAATATTTATTGTTATACATATACGTTGTCAAATTGATAAAAGTTAAAAAAAATATATATAAATTTCTATTTATTTATTTCACACAGATTTCTTATTATATATAAAGAATAATTTTAGTAACGAGATATATATTTATTCTAAAGTTCTATAAGTCATTATTGCTTTCGGAATTAAAACAAAGATTTCATTTGTTTCTATTAAAAATAAAATGAAATATAACTTCGCAATTACGCGATAATATGTATTATTACATTGAAGAAATACATACGTCTTAACGCGATCTCTAAATGTTAATTGCTCGCATGCGAAGAAACGATATGATGTGCAACTGACGCGATTATAGGTTCCGGTTCGTCTGCGACACGGTTCCGGGGCGACGGAGAGGAGAATTTTCTACGAACGGAATAACGTGCGAATCGCCCCGTTCGCAATCATCATCCGTCAGAGCCGTTCCCGGTGAAAACCGGAAGAACATTGACCGCCTCTTCTTCACGCTACACAGCAAACGTAATTAAGTTCTCAATTATATTCGCTGCGCGTGCGACGTGCGAAACGAAGGAAGTTCCTCGCGAAGAGAGAAGTTCTTCGAGTAACGGTGCTCTCTCCTCCACACACAGGGTCGCGGATGGCCGAGTGGGTTTGGGGGATACGAGAGGTCCGCGGTACCGTTACCTCTTACACGCGGTCCCCGTGTGCCCAACGAGCGTTCCGCCAATAATCGTCTGTCGCGACTGTAAAAACGGGTCCACGATGTCACGCGCTCGTGGATCCGACATCTCACTCGACTTCATTCTAAAGGCATCTAAAGCACTGCGTTGCAACAACGTCAATTTCAATTTATTACGACAATTCCAACGTCGAAATATCTCTATATGTGTTATTTCTTTCGGCAACGTTAAAATTTTTAATAACAAAATTTAAAAAAGTAATAGTCGATTTCATTCACTAAATTAACTTTTCGTCAAAGATCTCGAGTAAATGAGAGACAATAAATAAATAAAAAGACTTCAGTGTGCGCAACGTTATTTATACATATGTCCATAAACTCTTTCTTCAAGCTGCGTACTCGAGCGAACTTCTCGTTCCTCTGTACTTATAAACCCAAGAATTGCTCTCCTCGCGGTTTTCTCATGGTACAATAACGTTCGCCGACAGCCATATCGTGCGGATAATGGGCGTTGCTCGTTTCGCTTCGCTTCGAAAATTCGTTCGTACTGCAAAATGCCGAAGAACGCGCGCCATAATCTCCTACGTACAAGCATGTTCCGCTGAGGGGATCATTAAGAGCTCGTCGGCGAGAGAGGATCGAGAAGAGGGAGAGATGCCCGCGCGTCACGAATTTATTCTCTCATTGTCCCGCGTAAGCGGCCCCCTCCCCCCCCCCGCCCAACCCCCGAAACGGACGCTCCGCCGAATCGGCAAAAAACTCGAGGGACGATACAGCTGTAACGAACTTAATTTACAACGACATAAAAGCCCCCCGGCTTGTCAGCTCGTTAAAGGGCCCGATAGACGCTATTTCGTGAATTTCCGAACGATTCTAATGCCCCCGTGGATTCGGGGGATTATCGTGACATACGGCGGCTTTCATTCGCAATTTCTTACCTAACGCGTTATGCTGTGTGCTAAAATGTTTCCTGTGGCTTCGAAGTTATGAACTTGAGCAGCGTTTTCAAGAATTTAAAACTCTGTAGGGATTTGCGAATATTTGTGACACTGCGGGCCTTTTAAAGATATGTATATTATTCCTATAATGTCTGAACAAAATAGAGAAATCTTAAAAATATTTCCTGGAAAGAGAGAATCAATACTTAAAAGAGGTACATAAAAATTATTTTCCATAAAAGTCTTCCGAGTTTACTGCAATTTTTATTTTAATTCCTCAGCAATGTTCTCGGCTCAGAGATGATAAGATATTATTCAAACATGTGTGTATATATATATATATATATATATATATATAAAGATAATTTCCGATCGTTTGAATAATAATAACTTGTCACTATATGGCAATCCGAGGCATTGCAGGCTTTACAACCAATTCAACATTTTAGAGATACATTTCAAACAGAAACAGATATTCCGAACGTGCAAATCGCGACGTGGCATCCGCCCCGTTGTGGGAGCCTGCTTATAAATATACACGAGTATCCCGCCAGCCCGAGCACTGAATAATGCAGTCTCCGCCCAATCTCAACCGAAATCGCGGGAATTGTCGTCTAACCTTCTACTCCATGCGGAATTTTCGCCAGTCTCGAGAAGGCTAAAGTAAAAAACATAAAGCACATGAAGTAAAGTAAATAGAATATAAAACATGACAAAAGAGAAAAAGAGGAAATTCGAAAATTCCGCGATGACGTGCAACAGTTCGGAAAATACAACTTGGTCCCCGATATTTAAATCGATGAACGATTAAAAAAATATAATTCTGCATCTTAATGTTGAATATCTATATATATATCTGTAAACTACATATGAAGTGATGGACGACCGTAAAAAAAATCGCGACGTGCGCGATAAAAGCGGGAGGAAGATGGATAGAGAGACAAGGCTCGCTGTCGCGAGTCCGCGAATTGTCGTCGCGAACGTGACCGCGTCGTAATATTTTATGTGGACACGTGTATGAGGAAGGTCAGTGTTGCCTCTGTTCTTGTTCCGTGGGTTCCCGGTTTCTCCCCCCGGAGTGTCTTGACGGCCGCGGCGGCGGACTGACTGGCCTGGCCTGGCCTGGCTGACTGCCCGAGTGAACTACAATGCGGGCACGTGAGATGACTCCGAGATGTGTCACACACTCGCGGGCTGGACCCACGAGAGCGGGTCTCAGATTCGACGTGAGATGCGTGTGCACAGGGTCCGGGGGCCTCGCGAGTCGCGGCGTACCGCTTCGCCGTCCCACTTTCGTCACGAGGCCGCTGTCTTACTTCGGCTCTCTCGTCCTTTTTTATTTATTTCTTTTTTTTTATCTTAATGCCCGTTTTATTATCGCAACAAACGCGCTCGTCGTGCATCGCGCTGCGATTTTAATAGCTTCGACGTAATGCATTCTCACGTCGACGAGCGGCCTTTGTTCGAAGGGAGGAATTGTTGCCGGTACGTTTCTGTGAAATTATCGAGTGTTCACGCAGTATTCGTGTCGAAGCTCCGATTGCGAGAACGATAAAATAATAGTAGCCGCGTAACAACTGACGTATTTTCCATGAACATATGTTTTAGCTCGTTTCTACGTTTTTATTATTTCTCCGAACGGCGTTAATTTTACAGCTGATGCATCCCAATAAATCATCGCAATCTCGCATAGTCGCATAGTGTTTGAATTTTGTCCATGCTTTATACATGATAAATTAATATTTAACTTCAATTTTTCTATGCATTAAATATCCTAAACCCTGCTAAAATAATTTATGTAAAATTAACTGAAAATTAATACTCTACTGCTGGTAAACAATTTTTCGATCTGTTTACTCAGAAAAGTAATTGTAGCTTTGTAAATATAAATTGCTTTAATTCCATTTTAAAAAAATCTCTTAATTTTTATGAAGCATTTTTTACCAAGCAGATTCAAATTTTCAGTTATTTAGCTATCAGTATGCGTTGCATATTTATTGTAATTCCTCGTCTCATAGTTGATAAAGTTGATTCCCGCTGTGCAATAATATAAAAGTCAAGTCTTAATAAGCATGTCGCGCAGAATTTGCAGATGAAGAAGCCGCGATAGGAAGCTTCCTGATGCAGTTAGCAGATATTAGAGGGTAAGGTGGCGTTTGCGGCTTAAGGTGTCATAATATGTCTATCTGGCAAATATGTCTCTATTACCGGCGCTATTACGTAATATTGAGTGTGGTACGTGCGCTCTAAGATATTCCATGATATTACCTCGCGACTCGTCGCTTCTTCATCGGCTTCCGAAACCTAATGCCGCCGCTTAGCTAAGCGCGATCGCAGCAGATAAATAGCAGCTAAATATTTCAGGTTTGTAGTCACCCTCACATGCACGTGTAATGCGATGCGATTCGAACCAATGAGTATTCACACATACATAAAAGAATCGCGTGAAAATCTTTAATGAATTTGAATTTTTTCCCACGTATTCCCTCTTCGTGTATCATATTGCCTCTTCGCGCATCATATTCCCTCTATTTAAAAATATTTTTAGTTGTATTAAAGTGATCTTGCTTATTTGCTTAATAATATTAATTACATGTCCGCATTTTTCTTAGTAAATAAATAATAATTGCCAATGTACGTGTGTTTATATTTAATTATATATGTTTAATTCTAAAGCGAGTCCTAAAATTTTATCTTATATTCGCATATCAAATATTATAGAGATAATGGAGCTTCTATTTATCTTGAAAAATTGTTGCTAAAAATGATTCGAAGCGGCATTTTATTTCTACATACATATCCCGGTAGACGAAGAACGCGTCTTATAATGCTGCATTATTCTTCTTCTTTGAGGAGCGGCTCCACAATGAGAACTGCTCTCTGAGCCCTCGCAATTTATATATCCCGTTTCGAGGGGGTCGCTTTGTTGACCGGATTTTTAGGGTCGCGCTAGTCCCTCGTGTCGAAGATAACCCTCCGAGTTGCTTCATATCTATGAATATTATCTGCGACTTTATTCACGGGGCCTTGGCCCCGGCGATGATCTCGATGTCACGAGGACTCGCGCAATGGCTCAATATTGCGATATACCCGCGAGCATTTAGTCCCCACCGGATCGATGGTATAACAAAAAGAAAAGGGCAGAGTCACGATTGGTCGGTGTACCTTGATGTACCGATTGTGCTGACAAATAATAATTTATTCATCATGTAATTTAAAATTAATCC